TCTCCCGTCCGGTGTTCGACACATAACATCTTTCAACTTGTCAAGCCTCAGGATATCCGCATGAAAAGTGACAGAATAGGCCTCAGGTGGCTTCAAAGGTCTTTATTCCTGCAACCAATGATCATACAGTTGGTTGATATCGATTGCTTGTCTTAGATGGGCAAGGAAGTCATTTAACGCCCCAATTTGATTTGATCTGTGAAGGGAATGGTATTATTCCAATCTGCATGCTTGCTTATTTATCTCATCTATTGCTGCATCCTTTAGACGTTGGGTGTTTTGGTCCTCTTATAGTGGTTTAATTAAAGCGCGGTCTCAATTAGGCCTCTGCTATATTGAGAAATTGTATTTTTTTTTTTTTTTTTTTTTCCTTTAAAGGCATATCCCAGCGCCCACAGCAGCGCTTTCACCTCTTAGAATAATTAAAATGGCTCTGCAACAGCTGAAATAGTCTCCTTTAACATATAAAAAATTCTAGATAAGTTGCGTATTATGCAGAAGACTCCGACCACTCCTGGCAGTCGTGAGGGGGATTTTACTACCACTTCAACATTAGCAAACGCCTTTACTATCCGTCGACTACTGAAAGTCCTTTGTTAATTCAGAAATTTAAATAACAACACTCTTGCAGGTGGTCCCCAGACACGTCAATGACCTATTGGTCGTAGTACTAGGGGCGGTCGGATGACCAGGCAACTACGTCAAGGACACTAACCCGTTAAGCTTATTAGATAATTCTTGTAGCCGTCGTCGCAGGCCCTGCTAGGCAACAACACAGTCACAGCACTATAATATCACGTGGAATGACCTAGAATACCAATGTCCATCTGGCGAACTGATGATCTGGAAACATCGGCTGCTGAATATAAACGAACTTTTTGAAACCACCAACCATCTCACTGTATAGCAGATTCTCGGGATTTCAGCATGGCTTCTGAAATTGTTAACTCCGCATGGAAAGTGATTCCCATGTTCGAGTCCCGTTCGATTCCTCTCACGGTGGAATTTTACACTAAGACGCTGGGATTCGAGCTTGCTAGCGTCAAGCCCGAGGACAATGAATCTGAGCTATATTTCTGCTCTATGTTCATTGGCAAGAAGGCGGATGCCAACTTCTATTTCTCGAAAGTGACCCCTGAAAAATTCAAGTCATCACACGCGATGATCGGTCTGGGGACTCGCGAGCTAGACGAATACTACGACTATTTAAAAAGTCAAACTGGAGTGGAATTTTCTGAGGACATCGACGACAAGCCTTGGGGCTTCCGACAGTTTACAATCAAGGACAACGATGGAAATCTGCTCACGTTTTTCAAATTTCTGGAAGGGGGAAACCCGGGCGACGAATAAATTTGGGAGCTAGATGAGGCGCAGGCTATGTACGTATATCCCTCTATTGCTGGACTTGCTATGTTCTAAATACCTTTAGGCAAAGCACCCGAAGGCGGATGTCTCGGCCAATGAACATGTCGACGACATCAAAGCTTCTCATTCTAGGGGCTCTTTAATTGGCTGAAAGTTCTTGATCTGGTAGGAAGCCACTGGGATTATGTTCACAGTTCTGAATGGAATTTCTATTTGAAATTTCTCATTTTTCATAGTGGTACTTTTGCAAATGTATTCCATGCCGCCAGCGAGGGTGAGAATATATCAATAATGGCTATTGCTCTGGAAGCAACATGATAATAACGCCTCCACCATAGGCAGCACGAGGAACGGATGGATGGTGTTCTCATCACCACCATGCAAAATTGGTGCAAGAAATCCCACAGAAGCTCAGTTCCTCCACATGTTATACATTATCTTCTCTACACCTAGTGGGTTTAATGAGTCAGTGCGACCTGCAAATTAGAGCGCCGCAGTCGATCCCGCCAAGCTTCCCTATATTAGGGTATTAACTCTTTGCGGATCACCCCTCCGCAGTTACAAGTAACAGCAATACGTAGCGCGATTATTGAACGCAATTGCCATTGGCGGCATAGAAAGGGTATACATGCAATTAGACTGGGAAGGTGAAACTTAGCCAATGACTTTGGCGGAGCAGAACATGCCCGCATTCTGGCAGCCTAAACATATCTAATATACTGTAATTTGCGACATGCTCTGAGTGGCAACTCCTGGCGGATTATATTATAGCTCTTCGCACATTTGCTACGCCCCTGTTGACACGTCTGTAGTTTGATGTTTCGCAATCACATGAGCGGACCGGGGTGTAAAGCTTTGGGCTGTTTATCTTCTTAGCCTAGATGATTAAAACTATATCACATGCACTGGATTCGAATTCTTATTACAAATCTTATCGTAAGGATTAATCCTAGTGGGAGATCCTGACCTTATTGCACACAGCTAGGCGCCAGATAATCATAGTCCACCCCATTCATGCTTTAGCAGCACTACTACTTGTCACAACGAGGTGAACTGAGTCATAACCTTAAGTAACTTACAAATGTAGGACCCAAGTAGTAATGAAATGACAGTGCAGCATAATGTCCAATCATTGTGTCTGAAGACGGGTTGGAATTAATGGAATGCACGACGTAGTCTAGGGTGGTGGACTGGTGCCATGAGTTGCATCATGAGAGTAGGAAACCTTTTGATACAAATGACTTTTTGCCCGACTTGGCATATCAATTTACTTTCCCATTCTTGACTGTATATATTTCTTTCTCTTACCAGCCTATCAGCCTGGTCGCCCCTACCCTATCTAGATATCGTGAGATTCACTGACCACTACTATCTGGATGTCTTCATCCGGTAGTCTAAATTGTAGTCAGAGAGACAATGGACTATGAAGAATGACACCTCCTTTGCATTATCATTTGTATGTAAAAAAGTAGTGATATCAAAGACTCATATGCTTCCGCTTTCCAACATAACCATCCGAAAGAAAGCAGTAGAAGTCCGCCGTTACATTGCACTAGTGCCAGTGTTGTTAACCCTGTCTCCGACGACGGGCCAAGCAAAAATCCACACAAACGGCCACTGATAGGATGAGCCTCCATACACTTCTGACGGTCAGCATGCAATGCAATTTCGGAGAAAAGACCGAGGCGTCTACCTACAGACAGGCACAAGCGACCCAGATTGCGTTGTACGCCACCCACTTATTTGCCTCATCCACCGGAGGAGGGGGCTCATAATGGAAAGTGGACAAGTAATAATTGAGCAATGCAGCTGGGACCAGAAGCAAAACGCCAATGAGATCCAAGGTGAGCTGTCCTCCGCCAGACAAGCGTGGAATAGAGCGGCTCTTGTTAAGCAGTACCACGACTTCTAGCACATCTGCGCAGAGAGCCCAGCCAGCCTAGCGAAGGTGGTTAGTTTCGTGCTTGTGGCCGGGTTAGGAAGGTCGAGTACAGACGGCCGCATAAGCTGCTTGGTATGTTTTATGGTAAATCTTAGTCAAGAGAGCAAGAAAGACGAGGAAGGCAATATTGATGAGAATGCCTGCAGTGCGCAAAACTATGTGCACGATGGCTGATGGAGAAGGACATCGTGGTCGATCCGGCATTTCTTTGGTGTTTTGGTGTGTCTTGCAGGACATCCGCTTTTCGACTCGGGGTTTCCGCTAGATATACACGAAAACTAGGTAGATACTAAGATCATATTACTGGGGAATAAATGACAATACTCCCTTGGCATCCTTGGCAGTCGTGTCCGAACGGCGACCCTAGTCTACTCGGACAAGCGATGTAACCGAGGCTTGGATATAGCTTCTTTCCAACAGTCCGCTGCGAGCCTAGGACTTTCAATTGGTGATAGTGTCAGATTAACTAATTAAGTTGCATGAATTAGATGCAGGGGCTAGTTACCATCCCTGTCTCCAAGATGTCAGTCGGAGGGATGCTCGGAGAGATGCTGAATCGCACTCGATACCTAGCTAAGCAATGTTGGTCAAAAAGGTATAACTACAGCGCTTTGCTGTTGAATAAAGAGAAGTTCCCAATCAATTCACTCTCTTATTGCCCATTCACTCTTTCATTGCCATTCACTCTTTTATTACTGTATCTGTTCGATGCTCCTATTGACTCTCTGTCTCTTTCGTTATGCGTGTTGTAAAGTCCTGGGCCATCGCCCTATTGGCCTGGGCACTCCTGATATTTGAGGTGCTTGCACAACATGGACATGGACATTGTTCCCATGTTCATCTCCATAGGCAACTCTCGATTGACTCGATGGGCACGGACCGAGCCCTGGATGCTCCTCTCGATGCCATTGCGAAAGCCAGGGCACTTGTCAAGGACGCTATTGCCAAAGTAGCAGTGCATAATAAGCCCGCCTCGACAACCCCTCACGCAACCAATACAAATTGAAACCAGAAACCAAAATCCGGAACCGTCGTGACAGCCACCTGACACGCAGCCTGCTCCGCCCCTGTTCAATGTAACCAAAGAAATCGCTGATGCAGTGGCCGAATTGAATGCTACAGGGACCGTGAAGCGCGACCACTCCCATATTGATGTCCTACACGGGCGACACCGCGTTGCTGTTCTTTGTCCCACTCATCAAGGCTGCAAACGTGCCGCGCTCATTTGGAAGTTCTAGATCCTAACTTTGGAGCCTCCAGTGTAGAATTCTTGAGCTTTTGACCTCCCTTACAGCTCATCTCCCTTCACATCGCTAGAGAGATAAGGCAGTCCGCTTTCTCCTCGCCTTCTGTTGCTTCCACCTGTGTTCGAAGTTGCCTCATCAGCTCGTCCCTCAGAGATTGAGGAATTGGCTCTACATTTAGAAACTAGAATCTTTTTTTTTACCGTGAGTTGCAACCAACGTCCATTGCATTTAGATTGACGCATCCTTTCAGCGTCCCTAATCACATTAAGGTGCATTTCGAAAAGTTCAAGTCATTACTCCGTGAGTTACGGAGTGAAAAAGGAACACTAGTCACTGTCTAACCATACGATTATAGCCAGTACACTTTCAATATATACTCAGAAAGTGCCCCAGAGCGCGGTCCAAGTATACCGATTATACAACCACTGTCTTGTCGCCCTTTTCAACTATGCCGTTGGGGGTACAGGCTCATCAGCGCATTCGACTTGAATAATCTGATGCTCAATTTCCCTGTCGGAGGCCGTAATCACAAGCGCGCTTAAACGATGGCCGTATGAACATGCTGAATCCAGTCCGATTGTATACCTGCCCAGCTGCAAACGACGCTTTGCATCGTGACCAAATATCACAGTGGTCTTGGATGCTACCTTATCTTGCCATCGATCCCATTCCATAGCCCAGCCTTCTTCCCCAGAGGCCTCAGCAGGTTTGAGTTCACTCTCGTCACCAGGTGTGCGGTCGAGAGACCGCATATGCATGATAGCGTGTGGGTCCTGCGCTTCGAGTGGAATACCAGGAACGAGGCCGGCATGTACAACAATCAAAGTATCGCCGAAGGGGGAGGGGGACGTCAAGTTAGGAGGTAGCTTGACGCGCAAGATCAACGGCAAAGTGGCAAGCCAGTCGAGCTGGCGGGTTGAAAGTGCCAACGCTGTGGTATATGTTGCTGCGCTATGTTTCATACTAGCGCCGGTTGTAGCAGATGCGCCTTTGTCAGGATTCTTAAAATCTTGGAGAGTATCCCCAGGCACGTCAACTTCAGGATTTTTGGGTAAGGCCTGACTGCCCGTCAAGCCTCCAGATTGCTGTAGACTATCCCTTGTGGCTTTGATCTCAGCAGCCGCATTAAGAACTGCATTGTCATGGTTGCCTCTCACTGCGCTGGCGCCTAGCTTAACAGCCAGATCGACAACACCAGGACTATCGGGCCCTTTATTGACCAGGTCGCCAGTTAGTATTAGATGATCTCCTTTGCCTTTGTCGAAGCCAACTTTGACTAGGAGCGCCTCCAGGGATTTTCTCATCCCATGCACATCGCCTACAATGACCAAGCGTCTGCTGACAGGGCCATTTTCGGAAGATGATGGGAGGGACTGCGGAACGAGACTGCTCGGTAGCTCCGAAATAAATGTTGTGATTGGAAATATCTCATCAGGAACCTTTGTGTGAGTCATTTTATCAGCACGAAGATTTCAGAAGTATGAAGGAGTAGTCCTGGTCCCGTGGTTCAGGGGAACGTCAGGATCGGATTGAGAGATGTGAGCTCACTCGTCAGGCAGTAGGCTTCACTTCACAGCTCTGGAGGCGGTGAGGGCGGATGACATGTACGGCGGACTATAGCTACGATATGGACTTTTGGTATTTTTATACAGTAGGTGTTGAAAAATAAAATTATGGATATGAGACCTAGACTGATAGGAATCATGTCCGGACACCTTTTTAGCCTAGTGGTATTATACTTCAATAGCAGGGATATCGATGCCATAATATCAAATGAGAAAGGGCCGTCCGCCTACTTTGATGACAGATGGATCCAGTGCGAAACCCGCTATGATGATTTAAACAGTACTGGGGAAAGACAAGAGACCTATATCAGAAACCAAAGCCATGAGTGACCAGGACCATTATTATTGGCCAAAGACTATGCATGTTATAGGCGGGCTATAGCTAAAGTCCTTGGTAGCCCCGCAGAATTCAGCTTGTAGCCATAACGACATGAATGTTTAGGCCACTTTCCCTGCAAGGAGCCTATTTCCATCTGTTTTAGTGACTTCAACCAAGCTTCCTCCTACCACTTCCACATCAGCTTCTTTGATGTCAATCACCATGTCTTTCATTGTCTGCATGCGTCTCCCGTCCGGTGTTGGACACATAATGGCCTTCAACTCATCAATACTCAAGACATCTGCATCAGGGCGCACGTATCCTTTCTTGAAGTTTCACTCTTTCAGCAGGCTGACCAGACTTTTGCCTCGCATATTCTCCCGTTCCTGGAATCCCATGATCACAATCCTTTGTGACGTGATACACACACGCTCTCCAGTGTGTCAAGATTGCGTACGCCAATCAGAAACACATGATCTAATTGCAGCGGTCTGGGTGCGCTCGTAGCCACGAAATCCCCTGGTAGCAGACGAGAATTGGTTATCTTTTCGGCCCGTCCAACAAGACTCAGAGCACCATGTGTATATATATATATATATCATGCTTTGGTCGGCGAGGTAGATGGGGTGTTCCGATCCGCATGCGCATCGATCAGCAGGACTGCCATCTCATGGCCGTACATGAACGACCGTTGAGGCCGAGAGTGCCGTAGTTGCGAATCAGGTGATTGCCGTTTTGCTTTGAAACATCTGTGCTTGCTGTGGCACGTCGTCGACGACGACGACGCACACTGATATAGCAAAAGGTTTTTGAAGAAATTCTTGGATCGTCTACCGTGAGCGGAAAACAGATTGAGAGCCGTGGTAGATCTTGTCGTCATCTCCAGAGCCTTCCCATTGCGGCATGCAGTAGACGGTGTGAGCTGCTCATTTTTCAGGAGGCTTCTTGTGGCAAGATGAATGGCAAAGTGGAAGGCATAGCATCTTGTATTTCTTGTAATGGCCGACAAGGGATGACTCATTTCCATTACACTTCCACTGCCTTTGATCATCGAGGAGAAATATGAGCTGGCGTCGACCATGCCCCTGGACCTTGCCTTTGTGGACGGATATCGCAAAGTCAGCATGCTGTCGCCTTCTGCCTGGCAATATCTCTCGCAGTTTTGCGGCGGCTGCGTGCCGTCATGTGCTACCGAGTCGGTGGCAGGCCCAATCGAAACACAATGGCCGGAATGTGCACCCGGCGACGTGAGCGGGGCGGGGTCGATCGTCCATCCGTCTGGGATTGATTCTTTTGGCGGACATAGGCACTTTGTTTCAGGTGGCAAGCGCGCGGTCAATTGGTGGTCTTGGGTCTTTAAGCGTCGTTTTTAACAAAACGCCAGCGCGTGGGGTCGATTCGAAGTTGAAACCGCTCCACATGTTGGTTCTTCATTGAGAATCGATCTGAATTCAGCCTGCTTCCTTATATACTATTGGACGCCAACGCTTGCGTTGAATCTTTCCTGTAGCTATGACAGGATGGATGATTTCGGAAATGTGCCAGCACCTGGGAGATTGGATGAACCGGCTCGCAGTCGCGCTGTGAAGGGACCATGCGTTGAGGAGTAATCTCAATATCAAGCACCTAGTGACGAACCAAGAGAGTATAATTCATTAGACAAGGCCCGAAGAAGTTTGGAACACATATACCGGGTAGGGAAAAACATACCAAGCTACTCAACCCAGGCCCTTGCTAGCAGTAGACCATGCAAACCGGGGATTCTTGTGACCATTCTCTTTTCGCTTCATCAGCCCAACGCGGAGCATTTTGGTATTTTGGGGTCGGACAACGTAGCCAAAGCTCATCGGAATTTGGTACTGTCAGAGCTGGAGATCAATGACTGTTGGGAGCGAGATCACACAATCCAGATTTTCCCCCGGTAGTCGTTTCCAGTGACGAGAAATCAAGCAACCGACAAGCTTGTTCGCGTTCGCATGGTTTCGTCTTGAGACACCATGCAGTTCCTGGATACAACGCATCTCGCAGTGATTGAAGAAACGTCGTTCGTGTTTGGCTGGTTCCTGGGCTTGGGACGGCCCCGGAAAATATAACGAAGCCATGACATGAGTGGCTTGGTTGTTGAAGAATGATTGAGCATTCATGTTGTTCTGGAAAAGGAGAAGATTGACACTTAAGGGCTGAGCACAGTAACTGCTCGATGCATTCTTGGATGGTGAAGATAGATGGAAACACCTCAGGATGACATGTTCAAAACCGGAGTATGGGACCTTGAAGCAGATTGATTTGAATGAGCCAGCATTTGTCAGGCCGTGGAGCAAATTGCAAAGCACGAGTGTCGTTAAGCTTTCCTTACAAGTATCATGTCTCGTGTGAAATTACACAGAACATAAGAGGCTGTAGTCTTCCACGGAAAGGTCCGACATATTAGTCTCGATTGGAAATCGGCGCGATAGACTCAAGAGAGACGTGGCGCGATGGGTTGCCCGAATGATTTAGTTGATCAGAGTCCCACGGAAACAAGTCAGGCTGCATGTAGATGAGTGACTTCTCGACAAGGGATGGAGTAGCTTTGAACACGTCGAGTCTTGGGACTTCAGACATGGAGTAAATATGACACGGATGGTTGACAATGCGAAACCACGGGTCTCACGAAGGAAAAGAGACATGATAGAATGACTTGCCCAACGGTTCTGGCTGGATGCAGTCTCCTGGAATTGAGCGTGGATGGCAGAGTCTGTGAGCGCAGAACGTACGTTAGCGCTTTGTAGAGTTGGAATAGCCTTGCGACACGTCGAATGATGGAATCGCCGACATTATGAAAGTGATATGACACAAATTTTGATCGAGCTGTGTTGAGTCTCGAACAAGTTGAGATGGTCCGCAAGTAGGTGAGCGTCGCAAGTAGGTTACTGAGTTCTCGGTAAGGCGTATAGAGCCTTGCGACACATCGAGTTGTGGAGGACTTCGGACACAATGAAAGAGACATGACACGAGTGGTTGGCAATAAAAAGCCAGGTCTCACGAATGGGATAAGGATTGAGAATGGTGAGACTGCAAGCCTGCGTAAGAGCGGAGGCATTTGCTTGGTTGGAATTGGGTTCATATTGGGTCGTTCACGTTGGCTTCGCCTTTCGTAGTAGAGGATTTGTCGCTGGAAGACTTCAGCGAGGAGGAAGATAAAGCGAAAGGGTACTGATCCCCGACACCGTAGCGTGTAGACGCACATGGGTGTGAACAAGTCGGGGTCCCCGAAGGGGATGGAGGAATCCGTCATAGCGGCAGACCTAACCGGGCGAAGGAGCCGTCCTAAAGTCGGGCCTCGAGACTTCAGCCGGGTCAAACGGTCATCGAATGGCAAGATTTCCCCCATGTCAATAGCTGTGTCAAGGCTAGAGTTTTGTAACGCGGTTTGCTTTCCGCTATACGGTGGTAGGTCCTTTGGGTGTGTCAGGCCACAAAGGGCGGCCCCCAAACTCCATGGACGGAGTGAGCCCCTACCGGGTTCCGGTATTTTCTTCCCGTCACCCTCAAGACACCTGGCCAGGTCAACAGGCACAGGCGAGACATTTTAACGACATGTCCAAGGTCGTCCGCAAACCGACTTTCAACGTCCATCCAACAATCAAGGCGGGGCTCCCACGCTTCCGGTCAATCGGCCGAAGTTGAGAATATTGCCCTTGTTGACGCTGATGAGGACTCGACAATTGTCACAGGGGTCCCAGAGGCTCCCCCAGATCCTCCCAGACAGTCGATCGTCGTAGGCAGGAGCTGGGTGTATGTAACGGTTGCACAACGCTAACCCATGCACCTTCGCTGCCTCTTCTTCGGTTTTACCCCTGTCGTTGTTTAGTAAATGTTTCTGGGAATACCAATAGGAAGGGATGGCACGAACATCAGAAGTTTGCGGACAGGATATGTCTCTGCACAACGGCCAAACGGCCTGCCCCACTTTCGGCCTCGAGCTCGGATGGTAGGAGTCCAAGCTTGTGACCAATTGGTCAGCTGCAGTAATGGAGACCTAATGATCCCATACCGAGCCCTGTCCAACACGGCAAGCCAGGATCCCATCCCGCTATCAGTCGCAAAACCGCCTCTAGAGGCTCCAAGATGGAACTCTCCGTCTTCGGTCCAACTGCACTGAAATACACTCGGGCAACTGGGTCTTCCTTCCCTGATCAGCTTTCAGCACCACTGTCCGTAGACAGCGGTCAGCGGGAGGTAGAAATTCCTCTTAGTTGCTGTTGCGGGAGCTCGACCTAAAGTGCTCATAAAGAGCCCTAAGAGGTCCGGAAGGGCCCAGTATTCCACCCCATCAATCGTCGATTTTGTAAGCTGAAATCGCGACAGGGCCGAGGGCCAGTTCGGATGACGCTTACGGTCGATGTTCTGGGGTGGCGGTGGGACGAGGTAGTCAGCGCCATCTGGGCGGCTTTTGTCAAGGTTAGTTCTATTTGAACTGCTTGCTTGGCTAGCAGCTTACCGAAGGCGGCTGATATCCGCATGTACCAACAGCAGGTTGGCGACATTCTGAGGGGGGACTCCGTATACACTGGGTTGGCTGGCGATATCCGCTAAAAGTGCGATAATACCACTCCAGTCCAAGGTGTACGCCTGTCGAAAATCAACACGGCCGTTCAGCCACAAAAGCAACTGTTCAGCCATAGTGAATTACTCCAGGATGATGCCGCCTACAATCCGCCTACAATCCTCTACAAGGCTACGTTGGACAACAAATGCTGCGAACGATCTGAATTGCTCTCACTTCTCCGAAGTGGAAGGAACGTTTGAACCGGAAGGAACGGACAGGCCTTGCCCTTCAACCATCATTTCCTCCTCCCAGGGCTCCTCTTCTACAACCACCCGCTGAACAAACTTCTTCCTCAGACCCTTGTCCCCCTTCATCGCAAGAGTGCGCAGAATTTCCGGCCAGGTCCTGGGCTTGGTGATCTCGGCGATGTGATCAATCATCAGATCACCCCAGTAAAAACGGCCACCTGATGTGATTATGTATCCCATATCCCCAGTATCGGGGGTCGTCATCAACAGAAGTTTAGGATCATTTATCCCATGGCGTCGGGCCAGGTGGGCCTCCGCAGAGTCATAGTCGAAAAACCCTTCAAAGAACTGGGGGTCATTTGTCCACCCTTTTGGAATGCCTTCAGTCTAGACACCTATTGGTTAGACACGACGTTGTAGTATCTGGGTTGTGAATTCTGATTTACTGGTGTTTCCATGGAGACTTATGCAGACGCTGAGAAATTAGCTCTTGTCTCTAGATAACTAAGGTTTGCGCGGGTGTTATCATACCAGAATCTATCTGAAAGGCTGCTTTGAAGTGATTTCAGTGATTGTGTTGTTGTGTTGTTGGATGAAGAGAAAGACAAGTTTGTTATCTGATTCTGGTGTGGTCAATCTAGTTGGGTCAGTAATATGTAACTAGTTAACTAGTTAACTAATGAGTGAATGCTGACACAATCACTTAAGACGGGCCTAAATTTAGTATATGATTCCAAGCTTAATATTAGGGAAATCAAATCGGAAGTAAATAGTATGCCAAGGAAGCTTAGATTGACATCACTTTCTTTTAAAGGCCGTCCCAGATTACAGAAAGTCGATGAGCATCCTTGTCAGTGCCCAGGTCGGATATCGCACAACTACCCAGCTATTGTCGTTCCTGGAGGTATACCATATGTGCTCGCGCTTCCCATGGAGGGCATCAGCAATGTTCCCTGAGGGCAATGCCCGTTCGTTCCTTCCAGTTCGGAGAAGCGAGAGCAATTCAAATCGTTCGCAGCATTTGTTGTCCAACGTAGCCTTCATAGCGGGTTCGCACCGGATCCATATGTCGTCAAATGTCCCTACTAGATGACAATGCGATATTGACTCAATATCCCACTGTTGGAAGACGTCCTTCCGGTGACTCCTGCCATTGACATGTGCCTAGGCGCAAGTTGGACTTGCGCCAATGGTGGCGGATTGACCGCCCTGTTTTCGTGGCTTCTTCCGCAAGATTATGTGTACGTGCTGAGACCTCTACATCCTCACCCATTGGTAGCCTTTGGCTGACCTAAGATGCCAACTCCGACAAGTGATGAATCACCTCCGTGATAAGAGACTGCCCCACCTCGAGGAGCGTGTCGACACCTTGGGGTTCGGGCGATTGTCTCCAGAGGGTGGAGTAAACTGGGAATGGATTGCGAAGACCCGAACCTCCTGTTCATTGGTGATTGTCCTCACGGTATGTTTTTACAATCTGAAAATCCTCTGTCCGTAACTGATCAATGGATTTTTCGCGAGTGGCTTTTCAAACATGTTGCTGCCTTTATACACCATGGTGGGGTGGGGACAACCGCATGTGGTCTATTCGCATTCTAATATATTTCTTTCCCGGTTACAATGTGGGGCCAAACTGTTTATTATCAGTCATTTCAAGATGTCTTGTTATCTGGGTCGAGACAAAGTATCTGGAACACTGCATTGGCTATATAATGTGGAAGGCACGCAGGTGATATATGGTTTACCTGCTTCATTACATTAGGGGAACTCGGAACATACACGATATCTGAAAAAGTGAATGCACTGGATAAGATGCTATACTACCGTGAATAGACAAGATAACAGGTACATCACTGACACATTAGGCCTTGCAGAAAGCCTTCATGCTAGCCCACATAAAAACGAACAATCCTACCATTGATCGTATAAGAACTCTTCTCCGAACCACAATTCACCACGGCAGCTTTCCCGTCGGCCTGGTACTTCCAGTTAAACCAAGTCAGGTGATTATCTCCTTTCAATTGAAAGTTGGCCGTGCAATAGATTCCATTCAAGCCAGCCGCAGCCATATGAATGTAAGCGATGCCGCCAGGTTGAATGTCTCCAACAGCGTCAGATTCAAACCATCCATGCTTTACATCCCAGTTACCCTCATTGTACAGAATTCGGTTTGTGCGATTATGGATCTCGATCCACAGTTCAAACAAGTATCCTGCGTTTGAAATGCCGTGCGTGGTGCCTCCCTGGTGTGCCTGCTTGCGTAGGTCGTTCAGTTTCATTCGGAGTTCCGTTGCTGGCTCCTTGTTTCCGGATGTGATCGCCTCGTTGTAGTCTTTCGACACTTGTTGCAGTTGCTCGCTGACGGATTGCAACTCTGCTGGTAGATCGGTCTTCTCTACATCCCAAAGGCACCGTTAAAAAGTGGGATCGAACTGGAAATCATCGGAGACACATACCAATCTCGAGTTTCTGAGGCTGATTTGCCTCTGTGACCTGTTCTGCCTGCTGGGTTTCGGACATATTTCGATGAGGATGAAGTATAGTATGAGGTTGATTGTGGGGTGGATGATTTCTTTTTGTCTTGGAGGTTGGGACGACCGGGTCCGTTCGTCTTCAAATCTTACCGAAAACCGTCGGACATTAGTCAGTTCAGCCACCAAGCAGGTAAACAGTCGCGTACATGAGATGGCTGCCTGAAGTTTGTCGGTGATGCCGCCGCCCACCCTGACGGGCTGCGGGGAAATGTCGCGTGCAGCGGTGACACCACGGTGATACTAGCTCATGCTATTTGCTGTCTCTGAACACCTGTGAAGGGCCAGGAGACCGTAGCTACCATCAAATAGTCGTTCAGGTGGTGAGCAAACTATGCTTGACTTTAGACTCTATTGGTCAATGAACATTAGCAAAAAAACGAGCATATCCACATTGGATCTTGATAACCAATGCGATGGCTTGAATCCTCGGCTTTCCTTTCCTTCAACACGTCGATGGGGTTCATCCACTCGGCACCTGCGTGGTGTACGTAGTTTTCCTGCGCACGCTGCTCCAGCTGATCCTAGTGGCGTACGGGGCCTCCTCTTCCATTTTGTCTGTTGTCGCGCACGGCAGCTTTGGACCTTTGTTTCCCGAACTGTCCCTACTTATAATGCAGTCCCTCTTTACACTCTGAATTTCTGAACCTGTCGGCAGTGAGCCTGAATGTTCTGGTTTTTCTTTCTTCTCCTTCTCTCATCCCAGTCCAATTCCCTCTGTCTGCCTATCCGCCCCCACGCACTTATGTTTAAGATATCATGAATCATCGAACGGTGCCTGGATTATACGGAACATCGTTTCTTCAGGTCGCATCTCACTCAGATCAAACAAATTCATCGCCCGCGTACTCAAGCCCCAGTATTTAGTAGATCAGTCCCCCTGATCTACCCTAACAGAAGACGTTAAGCCCTGAGGAGCTCCTGACTCCCAAGCGGATCACATACAAGCTGGGTTTGCTTGACAGTGTTGATGTTCATCGACTTCGCTACAGCCACTAACAAAGAAAATGTTACGATTAATACTGAGAATCTGGCATAACGTTCACACGCTGTCTACATTTTTGGCTTCTTGCCACTAGAGCGTCCTCTGACGGTCCACGTCCGTTGTTTGTCTAGTACATGGGACGAGGCTTATGCCTTTGCCATAGACACCGACAATTTCAGAGTGTATTTCAAGATCCTGTCCCTACTTCTAATTGAGCTAGTTCTCTGAATGGAACCCTGCCAGCATCTAGGTATTAGGAGTAACATTCAGACACCAGTCAATGGACAGGGATTAATCATCTGTATGACACCAATCAAATGCCCATGGAAGTGCTGGCAACGGTGCTGTTGGAGACTAAACCCACACAGACATAATAGTCCGGATACAGGCCAGAGCAGTCTCCGTTCAGGGAAGGTTCCAGGATTAGAAACCTGATAGTGCGATGCTATTGGTGGCGGCGATGCCTTAGCAGCTGGACAAGGTAAAATTTGTTGCAGTGACAGAATCAAGCCTCGAAATGAGAATCCCCAATCCTTGAGTTGCGTAGACGGGTAAGGTGGTCTGGTGTTGTGGCAATTGTCGTGGGTGCAATCAAGGGCGTTGGCGAGTTCCTTGTGCCCAAGGATCCTATTGATAATAAGACCATCAGTGTCGCATCTGATGTCATCTTAGGACTGTTCCTCATCAATAAGGGTATCTTCTCCAGTATCGGACAGGGCATCCTTAAGAATAAGTCGATCAACAACAAAGTGGAACTTGGCGGCATGACAGTCCAAGATCCTCGCGGTGTTGGCGCTCTTTATGATTGCGTTCTTGTTATCCCTGCCTTGATAATAACGGAATGGCACCTCTACGAGCTATGCAGTAAGCCTGCTGGTAAAGCCAGATCTGCCGCCATAGTGGGGGAAGTCTGCGGAGGCCCACCTGGCCCGACGCCATGGGAGAAATGATCCTAGACCTCTGTTGATGGCGACCCCCGATACTGGGGATATGGGATACATAATCACATCAGGTGGCCGTTTTTACTGGGGTGATCTGATGATTGGTCACATCGCTGAGATCACCAAGCCCAGGACCTGGCCGGAGATTCTGCGCGTTCTTACGACGAAGGGGGCCAAGGGTCTGAGGAAGAAGTTTGTTCAGCGGGTGGTTGTAGATGAGGAGCCCTGGGAAGAGGAAATGAGTGAAGGCCAAGGCCCGTCCGTTCCTTCCAGTACAGATGTTCCTGCCACTTCGGAGAAGTGAGAGCAATTCAAATTATTCGCGGATATCGCCAGCAACCCTGGTGCATACGGATTTCCCCCTGGGAATGCCGCCAACCTGGTGTCGAGACACCAGGATATCACTCACCTTCGGTAAGCTACTAGTATCCATCACCGCAAGCGTATTCATATAGAGCTAACTTCGAAGAAAGCCGCCCCGATGGCCCCGGCTACCTCGTCCCGCCGCCACCGCAAAACATCGACCGAAATTTATGCGTCCTTGATAATGTGTTACAGTAAGCACATCCTAAACAACACAGTCCCTTTTTCAAAAATACCTACAAAAACGTACAACAGCCGGGATTCGCTGGTGGTCACCCACCAAACTACTAACCGGCCAGCGTGTGGATTGAGCGCGGTCAATACCCTGGTGGGTGCCCTTGCTGGGTGATGGGGGTGATGCTGCTTGAACAAGGTGGTGATTAGCGTGAGTGCAGTTTAGAGGGGTGGTGATGTCTAGAAAATACATTACCAGTCTGGAAAATACATTCACCAGTCTGGAGAATACATCATCAGTCTGGAGCACTCATTGCGCTTAGGGGAATCATAACCCACCCAGGTCAGAATCAGCTATTTCAGTTGGATAAATGAATAAAATACGCAACACTCAGTGTTCTACCAGCAGCACCTGGCCACAATCATTCCTCTTTTTAGAAAATGCTTAAATAAGCCTAGCATTTACCCTGTGTTTGCGCTGCTGGTTCCTGATCTTGAAGCCTATAATATCTCTTTGAGCCAGAACGCTCTAGCAGTAAACGCGGCATTATGGTATAGTATCACAGTGTATATTAAAATGCCTCTATCAGGACATGGAGATAAAGTGCATATTAAATGGCATACATCCACTGCATTAAGGATGTGACAGCTCTCTATATAACTATATAGAAAGTAGATCACGTAAGAACTCACAGCTATATACCAGGGATGCAGACTCCTCCATCTTCACTTCCCATAAGCTGTGATTTATCTGTTATAGAAGTGGAGAGTAAAGAAAGACAGAGAAGATAATAAGTCTATAATATTAGATACAGAATAAGTACATGTTTCGCACAACGTAAAGCATACTCATTGGCGCTTAATATATTGTTATTATCTATTAAGATATATAAGTATGGCCTCTGTTACCCTTTCAAAAGTAATTGCTAAAGCACGAAGACAAAACCCTGGGAATTTAAGTTAAACCATCTGAAGTGCGACTGACGAGCAACAATGAAGATCTTGATTATGCCTAGCAAATTAATGATCCTTTTTTAGAAATCGTCTTCAGGAAGAACCTATCTAAACACTCAGTTAGCGTATATATGAGATTGTCCTGAGAAGATGGGCTATCTTTCCGTGCTATTCCACCCAAAAAAGTCCGAAAGATACGAAATACTTTATCCTTGGGCTCGTCAGCTACATCCTGGACGCACCACCGCCATTTTGCAAGCCCAGACCCAAGCCTCGCTGAACAATTGCAAACATTGCGGGTGGAGAATGCGCTGCTACTTGAGCGGCTTGGACATGCAGAAGACCGCGCAAGGTAAGGGAGGTAAGGTACAAGACGCGGAACAAGGCAGCAGTACCTTAGGGCTGTACTGGACTTCGCAGAAGCGTCCCAGAGGTTTCGAAGTCGCGCGCCACGGGAACCGCAGAACAAGATACCAGGCAACCAGGCCAACTCAGAGCTTGGCGAGGCTCCAATTTCGGCAGGAAAGTAATGGTTCATTGTATACAAGGAAAGATATATAGATAGGTAGGATGGGGAGATCCTGCATATCGCCGATGGCGAGGGGTCAGTATATGAAATCATCATCATCATCATCATCATCAACTGTATATTTATATTCATAAGTCTTATATCTCTCGCGAAGCCTAAGAAAGATGTCGAGAGTGTCCACCTCGAAAGATGTCCAGGGCGCTGATACCGATTGAGGATAATAAGATAATGGGAAGGACCTGGCCAAAGCCCCAGTCTTGTTCTTCCGCGCTAATCAGCGACTTGTTCCAAGCCCAGAGAGATATCACGTCCAAGGTACTCCATACATTGAAGCCGATGTATATTAACCAGGTAAATGGGTAGAAGCCATCACCGTATGACCATGTAGCTAGCCATTGCAGCAGAAGCCAGTAGACCCCTACACTCAGAGCTGCGATTGTGGCCTCAACTTGCATCCGGGCCGTGAACAAAACGCTGAGAACACACTGCCGCCTAAACACAGGTGATATAATTTGAGCTTTCCCTGAGCCTTTACATTTTTGCGATGCATCTTTGCGTCTTTGTCTGGAGTCTTCCAACCACGTTAAGAGTCTGTCTCGGGCCTTTTCTGTGTAGCAAAGTAGATCTTGTTGAGAACCCTCGTCTTTTCAAATAGGAAGGACAAAAGGGCTATAGAAAATAAGATAAGCCCTCCCAGCCAAGGCCACGCCGAGGTTCCATCTAAGAAGCGATAACAAGGGCCACCATTATCATCCCAGTGGTCTAATTCACGGTAGGTAATGCGTATAAGCCAAGTAATGGCAAGAATACAGCTGACCAGGATAGAGCCGCGCCTAATACGTAGTATCCACTGGTCACCAGTCGACCCAAGATTCATATAGTGGATGCGTGCGACCCAGAAAGAGTTAAGTGTTAACCACCAGTAGCACATGATCAGCTGTTCATGGTAGAACGTAATCGTGTGCCATTGAGCAAAACCGGCAATCATGACAGCGACGCCAGTCATCGCCTGCAAGTCACACAAGGGTCCAAAAAGATCATTAATATTCTGGACAATTTTCGGTTCTGAGTTAATGATATGCTGGTCAGAGGCGTGCAGGAAGAAGATTCTCATTCGAAATAGATCTGGCCCCGGACGGGTAGGCGCGGCTTCAATTTCCCTACGCAGGTTTTGTCGTGTAGATGGCCCGCGACAATGCCATTGATTTAGTGCACTCTGAGCTTCATGAATGGCCGGAAAAGCTGCAAGCAACACAGTCAGCCACGAAACTATCAGGAAAGAAGCCATAACCTATGAAATTAGCAGATATCTCTGACCAGCAATTGAGATGGAATGTCATACTCACTCCTGGACCGCCAATATCGGTATTTGGTCTGATTTCTCCATTACAATAAGTATTAGGAGGCTCTATAAACATTGTGAAAACAGACGTCCAGCATGGAGTTTACTGTAGGTTGAGAAATGGAGCTTGACTCAATGAAAGATCAGGGCACAATGAGAAGCAAGCTGCGATAGATAGATGCTGACAGTGCAGAGACGAGGCATGTTAAATAAATGTACAAGCGGAAAGTTGCAGTCTATGACGAATGAGTGTTTGCATAGGAGAGGCAACAATAAGCTTCCAGAATACACTAGTGTAAATGGGGAAGACAATGGCCGCTCGTTTACTGATTACGTTATATGCCTCAGGCACAAACGCCACAACTCACACCACCACTAACACTACCATAATTGCCATCTTGAACAAGGCCGATCTTTCAAACCTCAGTTCTAGACTTCCACCCTCGCCACCACCCAGAAGAGTGGCAAAAACAAGCGGTTGCTGGAAAATTTCAGCACCGCCTTGGAATTGACCAAGGATCCAAATTTGGTCCCAAACACGTCCTGCTGAGCCCAGAGGAGAAGGAGCACCCTCTCTATTATTGGGCATAGATATAACACATGCCGTACTATTAGTTATCTTTATTTGGGTTTGCTGCTACAGATGTGTAGTCAACACAGCCTCCTCGTGCAGGTCCAGCCATACTTAAAGAATATTCGATGCCCCTGTTTTTTCTCTGTGTATGTCTTGTTGAGACACGTCCTTGTCACTTTAATCCGCCAAACTTTGGAAAAGAACTGGGAAACACTTTGTCAGGGGGAGATTTTCCTGCAATCTTCGCCAACATGCCTTGCCCACTTCCATTTGCTCTAACAGCCACGTGGAAACCATATCAGGCTTCCAAAATAAAGCACATCATTACTGAAGGAGATGATGCTAAGAGGAAGAAGTTGACCAGTCAATGGCTCCAGTCAAAGGTGCATGAGGTTGACATGGTGTTTATCCTTGTAGGTACACTGGCGCAGATACATGGGGGTTGCATCTGGCTAACGCCGTGTCAGAGTACACTCCTGATTGGCGTCGTCACTGCTTCTGTTTCTTGGTTCGACATGGCGACCGGACAGGGTCACGAGATTACTAACAGTGTATGCTCAGTATTGAGTCCTCTGGTTGATTGAGAGATGTAGGACTCTTGTTGACAAGGCCCGCAGACTAAAGCTCATCAACAGTGGCATCTGTTAGAGTCCCTACAAAACTTTCTGCTTCAGTACTAATCACCTTCTCAGGCCCATTTCTGGGTTTAACCTGAAGGAGTGCCCCTGCGATCTGTAGAATTCCTTTAACGTCTAGATGTATGTCGCCCATTTTACGTCCTTGAGCCATGCTTTCACTAATATTGGCTAGAAAGAAAGGCGGTTAGTGACTTATAGACCTATAAATCAGGTGACTTTATACTAATCTTGACTTAGCCTTCGTCAGTTAAGATAATGGTGTGACACAACAGATACCTATACATAACTCTAATCTTGTTGTGCAGGTACTTTAAGCCGTTTAAAATCTTGTTTTAAGTTAGTCAAGTCTGCAATATATGTGATTAGAATAGCTTTAAGGATGGGTTGAACCTCCTTACAGATAGTAGTAACTGCACTCTCCTTAAATGTGAAGATGTTATGCACACATAGAATTTCCTGCAAGGAGATTCCCTAACTATTATAAATAAATATAAGCCTGTTTTCCTCCAGAAAGACATCCTGTAGGTTAATAAGGTTTTTATGCAAGGCCTAATTAGCAGGAACTACTAAGTTTACAAGAGGGCATATCTTGAAATAAGATACTAGTAACTCTCCAGTATTAGTGCTACCTAAGCAACTCATCCCTCTAGTAGCTGATATAATCAGCAGGAAGATCCTATCATTAGGTAGTAGGAATCTCTGGTTCTTGAACACTCTAGGCATGTCCACCTTGGGTGGTTCTTTTTTAAATAAAAACTTAGGAAGGAGGCTCCTTGAATAAGTATTTGCTAACTTATTTAGTAGAATAGTGTTCTGTAGACCTAGGCAAAACCCAACCCGGAACACCCCCATTGAGCCCAAAGCCCAGCCCAGGTAAAACCCAGAACACCCCCCATGAGTCCAAGCCCAGCCCAGAACCCAACTAGGCTACCCAGTTGGGTTACTTAGGTTGTTTTATTTTAGTATAATTTTCTTAATTAAGCTATACTAAGACGCATAATTCTGCTAACTAACTAAAATATATATTAGACAGGACTACATAATTAATGCATATTATATGTTTGCCTTATTTATCTACCTAACTGGATTACCCAAAACCTAGCTGGGTTCTATATAAAAGCCTAGAACCCAACTCAGAACACCCTCCTTGAGCCCAAAACCCAGCCTAAGTTGGGTTTGACAGATGTTTCACTTGGGTTACCCGGAACACCTGCCTAGGTCTAGTGTTCTGTCTTGCAGGGGTAGATAGACCCCTAATCCAGTTAGATATTGTCCTGGTTGAACTAACTTGGGCGTTGATATTGTGGAAAGAAGAGTGGCTGTGGAACCCATAAGTATTTGATAGTTAAAGATGCCAGAGTGTGCAATAAGAGAGCAAACCAAAACTATAAGATTAAGTATATAATGAATTAAAAAAAGATAGAACAAGGACATACTATTTATCATATTTTATAGGTTATATACACTCCTAGTAGGAAGTAGACTACATTATCTTATAACCTACAATTGTGAAGAGTTGGTGGGCATGCTTTTTTAGGGCAGTCTTTTGAGGGGAAGGGCTCCAGTGGCTGGTTTAGTTTTAGGTTAGGTAGGGTGGGCAGGTAGGAGATTCTGTTTTTTATATATAGGGTTTAACTTTTAAGCAAGGGGGTTTAACTTTATAATCCTCATAAAATATGCAGCATAATTATAGCTTTACTAAGGTTATTTTACTAGTATCTATCAGTTGCATCACTACTCGCGAGCCATTTTTTAGAGTGGTGATGAGGAGTAATAAAGCCCTTACCTATATTATTAGCATCTATACTAAAATTATAAGGTTGCTTTTTCAGGGGAGGAAGGCTTTTTAAGAATTAACCACATTTAATATATGGCTTAAGTATGGCTGAGCAGATGGGAAGCCCTGTTTTCCACACCCTATGGTCGTATGTGCTGGTATATGAAGCTTCGAGAATTATATCGGAAGATCGTGAATGAGATATAGGAGCTGGCGTCGAAGCATGCTGTTGGATCTTGCCTTGTGGACGGGTTCCGCAGTTACCATTTAGAATCCTGTATCATCACTGAGTTATCTGAAATGAAGAATGCATTTCTGTATTTACATCCTATTTACATCCGCCGATTTCGTAGGTTCCCAGATAGAAGACTTCTCGTAAAAGACGACCGACTCGCCAGTATCTAGTTCAGCCCTTTGAGAATCTCAGGAAAAAGAAGCTCATCATACTGCCACAACGTGGTCTGGAAGTTGACTGAGAAAGCGCCGCCGGTCCACCAAGTCGACCGTCCTCCCTGCAGCGCGTACAGCTTCTGGTAGAAGCCGTCTTTCAAGTCCGCAACCGACACCCGGGCATGCATGGGGCGGCCATGGGCAGAGAAGTCGACCCAGCTCACCTTCTCCCCTTCCTTAGCGTCCAACAGCCGGCCCGCTTTGCGGAGAGTATCAAAGTCCTTTTGCACCAGTTCTTTGGCGCCGGCAGAGTCAAGTGTCTCCTCACCGACGATCGTCACCCTGAACATGTTGTTGCCACCAAGGTAGTCAATACGGACCGTGAACGAGCCATCTGGCAGAGTAAGGTAGTGGTCGGGCGCGGCAGCGGCAAGGAGGTTGAAGTAGGAGTAGTTGGTCGCAAAGGCAGAATTGTTCACCAAACCAGTGTATTCGTTGGTGTAAGTAAATTTGGACAAGACCGTACGCTCGTTATCGTCCAGGTCGAAGGGCGCCATGTCGTCTTTGGTCGGCTCGATGGCGAGGAGGAGCCTGCGGGCTGTGATCAGGGTGATCTGGCCTGTTTTGCTGTTCTTCACTGTGAGGAAGACGCCATGTGGGGTACGCCAGCTGAACTGTGCTCGAATACAGAACGTCATCCCCGAGATGATCAGCTACGGCATCATACAGGTCCTGGTTGCGACCGGACGCAGGGACAAACATTCCTTGCTTGCCGAGCATTTCTCGAGCCATGGAGGGACCGAACGATTGTAGAACAAACAGGGTGGTTTCCCGCGTCATGTTACGGAGGCCCAGGCCGGTACTCTCGTAGATCAGAGGGACGGCATCTTCGAGTCCATGCTTGGTGATAAAATCACCAAAGGTAATAAGAAGATCTTCCGGGATGGCGTCTGGCTGAGGAAAGTCGTAATATCCAGGCAGCATCAGGTGCTCCCATGGCTCCACCACCTCGAGGAATTGGGCAATGGCCGCAAACTGATCGGCAAAAGGTAGCAGCTGCATGTTGACAACATTTCCGGTTCGGAAGTCAACGTACTCCGTTGTGACTTGGGGGTTGCAGGAGTTGCCCCTGGCGATGCCAAACCGGTCAAAGAAGCCCGTCGCATTACCGGCGTCGATGAAAAAATCTTGACCCCGTGGTCCAGGGGGATCCCGGTCTTGGGGTCGACATAAGAGTCGACCATACCACCCTGTCGGGGCCAATAACTGCTGTCCATTCACTGGAGGCAGGGAGGTCTTACAATGATGCTCTGCTTCTCAATAAGACCAACAGTCTTACCAAAGTCATCGCGAAGTCGGACCGCCGCGTAGGCACCAGAAGCACCGCCACCGACAACCACAACATCTTTGAAAATGATATTGGGTAACAGGCTAGCCGTGGCCAGAGACGCGGCTGCGGCCAGGGCCGAGGACAGAAGATGCAAACATCTTAGGAGATTGGAGGAAGGGTATCTCTAGAAGTAAATGATACTTTTTGCATCAGGGGGTTGCACATGCTTTATAAATCTGCAACTAGTCTGGTGAGATTGTATCCTTCGGAATGATATTCAGGGAGTACCAACCTCATCCAATCACTTTGACCATCACGGCTTGACGATGGCGGATATTTCGTCAATAACCCTACATGGAGCAGTTTTGTTGACCTGGAGGGAATCAATTGGCCGCCAGCACAAATTGAAGTGACAACTACTCCGTATTTAGCGTTATAATCCCTGTTCACGAAGTGCCAAGTCTGTGCTAGAGTCGGACTAGAACCAAATACAGGACTCATCCCCTTCCTCTCTGCGATCAAAGCGTTTTGCTGACTGGGAGTTTTACACTGACCAGCTGAGAAGACTTCAGAGCACTGAAGTAGGTGACTTTATATATCTTCGCAGTCGGGGAGAGTCTCCTAAACCTCGACCTACGTGTGTGCCTGTGTACGGAGTACAGATTCTGCAAAGTATCTGGCAGGGACAGCATATGCCATTAAAAACATCAGGGGCTCTGGTGGAAACAGCGTCCCCTTGACAAGGGGCCTGACTTTGTTGTTCAGTACGGAGTAATAGTGTCAATAATCACTGAGTTGCGGCGGACTGTAGGGCGATCTTACGCAACCAAAGTCCATAGTGCGGAGGATTTAGACGTATGAGATCACGTGATACTCTGGAGATATTTCTGCAGATTGCTGTGATTAGTTCTCCTGGCTTGGGCAATATACAGTTATCTTGCTTCCTCCACACCCTGATCTCACCAGTTAATATCGCACCTTAGCAGCCGATCTCACAATAATGCTTCTCATGCTGCTAACAAGGCTTTGTCAACAGAGTCAGCCTGCTAACCGCATTCGGCTGAGACGACAGTATTAGTCACTATGAGTAAGCAGAGACCAGGGCAGGATGGTTTTTGTTGCCATGATTGAAGGTCATGTTGATATACTCCGTAGATGAGATGTCCTAATATCAGATCGGGTTGGCTGACCTTCATTCGACGGAGAGGGGCACATATATATTTGTACACACTTGCTCAAAAGATTGTGTGAAATCATAGTGCATAATTGATAATTACAGTCGAGGAGAAAAGCAATGAGAAAATCAACTAGGGTGGTTACAGTAGACGACAACAGCATCCTAATCTCCATGGATATTAAGTAGAAGTGATGGCCACAGGGCACCTGTATTGATGATGATAGTCTACAAGAGAGAAATAAGAAAATCAGCTTGTAAATTTTATTGTGCGGCAAGGAAATATATGTCCCTGCTCCTCTGCACAATGATTCTCTGTAATGGATATGAAGTCGCAGAAACATATATTGCCGCAGCATCATTGAAAATATATTCCCGAAAGACTCAACAACTTGTAGAATTGCCATTACCACTTTAGTCTAAACCGGCCCAGAGCACAATGTTTAGAGGGACAAAACCTGTCAGTGCACAAGTCTTTACAATACGAGTCCTGGCATATCTCATGATCCATCAACAAGCGACACTGATTCTCCACCGATTGTCCCTTGCCAGTAAGCTTATCTCTAGGTAGAACCAATGGCAGCCAATCACAACACGCTGCGCATCTCGGCGATCCGTTTGTAGTCACGTGCCACCGGGCACCTGTTCTTGGCTCTTTCGCTGATCGGGGTCCTGTGTTGTGTGGGATTGGAATTTCGCAGGGTACAATTAGTTAAGGATAATTGATTTGTCATTTCTGATCTGGAATAAGCGGGAAACAGTTCTACCCCTATTTATGAGAGAAAAATTCCCGCCGTCTCTCGGGTCCGACCTGCATACCAACCGTAGACAATCTTTGGATGGTCTCCTGATCCGCTTGTCACGCCTGAGACTTCCACCCAATCACATTGCATTTATTTTGACCATGCCCCACCTGTCGCCACGGTCCAGCCGAGCCCATCAAAGAAGCCAATCAAAACACTTCATTCAATACGGGGACAGCGCGCAAATGCACAACTGCCGGACCACTGTCGATGCTCAAAACTTTGTCCTTTGATGCTGATCGCTGAGATTTCTGACTTTCGGCCGGGCACTTGGTTTGAGATCGGATCCGACCAAATGTGGTTATATTTACAGTCCCTGGCTCAGATAATTCAGTCTTTTCCTCTCCACGCTCCATCGCAACATGCCACGCCGCATCCTGATCGTTGGTGGTGGAATCGCCGGTCTCACGGCCAGCATTGCTCTGGCGAAAGAGCTCACACAGGTCGCACCGGATCTGGACATCACCATCTATGACAGTCGATCTGAACACTCTATGGGGGATGGAGGGGCCATTAGTCTTACCCCGGTCGCTCAGCACCATCTGGATCAGCTAGGCGTCCTACCCGAGCTCTCTCAGATGGGAGAAGACACGGGGATTGAAGTGGATGAAATCAATATCTACTCTCTCCGTTCCGGGCGATCGCTGGGTCCCTTGAGATTTGCAGACGAGACCGGACGCGGTTATGGGGGCTATAAGAGCCGCCGAGTGCTGCGGAGTGCTCTATTTCGCGCCATGCTGGCCGTGGTGCGTCAGTACGCGCAAATTTCGGTGGAGTTTGACAAGAAATTATCCAGCAGCAGCACAACAGGAAAGACAGTGACACTCCAATTCGACGATGGGACGACGACCACGGGGGATCTACTGCTGGGATGCGATGGCGTCCACTCGGCGGTCCGCACGCAGCTCGTCGATCCCGGCAACCAGTCCGAATATACGGGGATCTCCTTCATTCAGAGCCTGGCTCCGGCCGAGCGGGTATCGCTACCGTCTCATTTCGACGAATCGGCCATTCACCTAACTCGGCAGGGATCGCTGCTGGCCAGCTACTGCGACCCCAGCCATCAGACCATGTTTGTTGCTGCGATCATGCGTGTGAATGAGCACATTATCGAGCGGTACCGCGCGCTGGGCTACACAGACACCAATATCGCTGCACTCACGTCGGCGCAGATGGCCCTTCGCTACCAGGTGCGCAGTAAATTCGGCACGTCCGCCTTTCCGTGGATCCGGGAGTGGATTGAGGAGACGCGTGATTGGGAGTTGTATCCCATCTATCAGGTCCGCCAGCGGGGAAAATGGCACGTCGACCGCGCTCTGCTGCTCGGGGATGCCGCACACGCAGTAAGTACGCGTAAGCTCTTTGCGGCCTGGACAGCACTAAATGACGACTGCAGATGCCACCACGCGAGGAATCCGCCGCGTACGCCATCGAAGATGCTGTCATATTCGCGCAGATCTTTGCTCGGGGGCGTGATCGTCCGCTTCGCGATCTATTCGTAGAGTATGAGACCGCGCGGCGAGGGCTGGTCGATAAAGCGTTCGATGCCACTCGCCGGTTATGGCAAAGCGACCTGGACAAAGGACTCTTTCCAGGGCATTACCGCGACTGCATGTCGTCTATCCAGCTACCGCCGGCTCCTTTACGGGCCAAGGCGGCCGACGCCCCGATAAGAGAACGAATATTCCCGCCGCCGACGCACGAAAGCATGTCCGATCTATCTATGTATACATTGACAAGCGAACTCGAGGCGATTCTCCATGTGGATGAGGGGAGGACAAAAGCGCCTTTGTGATTATGAGGCATCCTATGAGATTTACAACAAGGAGCACGGCGTTTGACGACTCATGATGGATTGTGGGTTTGGGTCCGGTTATGGCAATGGTAACATGAATTATGCGCGGTCTTCTATAGACACGGGATACCTTATGAATGTTCTTCAAGGCTCACGAATTTATGACATAGCTTCAGAGATGACCAGTATCAACTTGCTTTCCATATCCAGATGTTGTGAGTTCTCCAATATCGTCCTCAACCAATTTGAGGACCAGCGAGTTTGAAGGGAGGATACAGTAGACCATGCCGCAGCAAGGAGGTAGGAAAGTGGAGACTAACACAAACTTGCGATCCACTCATACGGTTCAGTCGTCACTGATTATCCGGATGACCTCTGGTGAGCTGCCAGGACCACAGGAGGGATAAATAGTACCAGTTCACAGCACAACTGACGACGGTCATGTGAAACCGGTCCATCACGGTTCGTAGCTTTTCTGAAGAAAGGAAAGCCCCTAGACTCTAACGACATAGCCAAGTGCCAATACCAGGATATCAAGTCGTACTTCATGGAGGCAAATATGCTTGATGAGCCGGAAGCGGCACGGGTGCCGGACGCAAATGAAATGGGACAGCATGTGCCTGAGATCGTGTTGTTCATCTCCAAATCCGCCAACGATGAGGTGAGTCCAGTCAATGACGCGGATGCCCTGGTCCCTTTCTACTGTGACTCCGGCGCGAGAGTGGAATATTTGCGGGATGAATTGTCAGATCATGCGACAATGGCGCTCACCGGTGTCCCCGATGTGCTGTTCTGGTTGCAGGATCGCATGATGGGGTTCCTGTTGATGCCAGCTGGAGGACGAAAATCGTTCTCACAGGACTGACAGATCCGAGAGTCTTGTTCAGCCTGGGTACCAATGTGATCCAGATCCTGCTGGCCTTTTTGTCGGCACCAGTTGGAACGGTTGTAAGATGATTTATGGTTATCATGGTATATATTTGCCTGTGAAGGAACAGTAATTCTGAATATAGTAACATGTTCAATTCATGCCCGCAAAGTCTCCTCGACATGAACGTTCTGCGCCTTCTCATCATGATCCTGATCAAGCTGCTTGTGAACAGCGGCAGCCACCTCATTTGCCTTTTCTTTGCCCTCGAACACTGTATCTGTTAGTTGTGTCTCAAGACCTCAGATCTGAAACTTACTGAAAGACAGTTCCTCGAGAGTTCTTCCCGACGTCTCGGGGAAGAACAGATAGATAAACCCTACTTCAAAAACCAACCAGCAGCAGTATACCAGCAGCCACTTCCAGCCGATATTCTTCAGGCCGACAGGGTTCACATAGGTTGCGAAGAAGCTCGCGCCTCGTCCGTAGAACTGGAACCACGAGATACCTCTGGAGCGACCAAAGTATGGGAAGATTTCAATCAGGTAGGCTAACCAGTCAGTATTTGTTGTCTCGAGAAGCGCGGAAACTTACTGTATGTCAATGCGTTGTAGCCAAGGTTATACGCCGGCGAATAGCAGAAAATGAAGAAAATGGTCAGGATGGCCGCGGCCTTGGCGTGGGTACTCATAAACCGTTCCATGGAGATGGTCCAGGCGACATACACGCAGAGCAACGAACAGGCACAGGTTAGGTACATGGTCCGTCGCTTGAATCGAGGAACAGTCAGCGCCAGCGTCGTACCGCAGACGAGACCCCAGCATGCAATGCCGATGTTGATCTTGGACTTGACCACGCTGTCGGTGATGTCGACCATTTCCAGGAGGTCACTCAGATAGTATCTGGACATCATTAGCACGTCTCGCCAGGAGATCAAGAGCGGTACGTACGAGATCAAAGTATTGCCCGACCACTGGGTGAACAATCCCAAAAAGGCCGAAATGAACAGCCGACGACGCATACCGGCGGTGCGGAACATATCCCACCACGACTGCTTGGCCTCTTCGAGTTCGAGCTTGATGGTGCGTTCGATCTGGGCGATTTCGGCTCGCACGATGACCGAGCTGCGATCTCCCTCGGCGTGGTATTTGGTCAGGATATTGAAGGCCTCCTCGTGGCGATCTTTACTGATCAGATACCGAGGGCTTTCAGGAAGGAGACTGCACGCTGTCAGTCCTGTCAGGGACAATAAGGTACCACACCACCTACAAGACAAAGGTAATCTGCACCATCGCCGGTGCAATCTGAAGGAGCGACGGAATTCTCCAGGCCCAGTTGGTTTTGATGGTCACCGTTCCCAAGCCGACGGCAGCAGCGATGATCTGGCCGATAAAGTATGAAGAATTGAACAGCGAGGTCAAAGTGGGCCGTTCCTTGGGGTATCCCAGTTCACCAAGAAGGGAAGATCCGGCAACAATGCAAAAGGGAATGCCGAATCCAAGGATGATCCGCGCGACGACGTACATCCCAACTACTGAATTAGCGCATGCAACCGATTAGAATTGGGTAGCATACTTCCGTTGGCAAAGCCTTGCAGAAGAGCACCCACGAGACTGACGCAGGAACCAAACATGATGGTCCACCGTCGTCCGAATCGCTGGTTTACCCAGGGGACAAACGGGAGGGACAGGATGGCTCCGAGAGAATATGCGGCCCCCAGGAACCCTTTGAGATTTGGTTCGATCTCATACTTGGGTTTACCGTTGACAACCGCTCCAGTTGGATGACCGAAATCTGTAGATGTCAGCCGTCTCCAGTAAAAATTAGCACGGCGTGTCATGAGAATACATTTGTTCCACGTGTAGACAATCTGCACAGTATTGATGATCTGCGAGTCGAAGCCCGAGGTAATCTCAATCCCCATGCATGCAGGAAACAGAATGAAATACAAGTATCTCAGATTAGGCTTCTTGTACCAAGGAGTACGATCGTCGGCCAGCAAGTTGGCCAGGATGGGTTCCGCGACATCTTCCTCACGATGCTTTGGCACTACAACCATGTTGATTGATGTCGTATAATCGATGGTGCTGATGGCTTGATGCTGTCAGGTGGAGACGGCCTTCTCTGGCTATATGTAGAATCCCGTCATTGACATGTCTTACGCCAGGATAGACTGGTTTTCAGCCGTGACGACCTGCTGATAGCTCTGACCGAAGCCTTGGTCCAAGATGCTCCTTGATGGGAAGGGCATCCTGCAAACCCCCACGTCCACGACACGGGAACTCTGGTTATATTCCCCCACCAATGGAACGCCGAAGTGAGCATGTTTGAATGCTGTCAGCATACCTGCCAAGAGCGGCCCATGGCCTCATGTGGGGGTTTGCTGAGACAATCCAACGAGCTGACGAAGGATTTGGGGTTGCAGCTGGTTTCAAGAGTCAAAAGGTCATCACATGCCCCACATTTACCCCGGATTGAACACGGTAATGGCCCTAATGGGTAATGGAAGTGGCTCGATTCAGTAATTGATTGACCCCCCACACTGCCCAGCCTGGACTTTGGATAAATTCATCGCGTTTACCCGGTGCCAAGAATCGCTTCTCTCCCTTCCCCGAGGTTGCAGTCTAACTGAGAAGACTACAGACGATTGCTATGATGCTATCTATACACCACTCCAGTATCTCGTCTGCTCCACTCTAAACTCTCCTCGAGACACAATGTCTTGACTCGAAGTCCCAATCAGCACCTCATAGACGCCATCTTCGCTCTTCCACATATCCTCGATCTCGTCCCAGAAGCTAGTCGCGTATTTGTCGATGTGGATATCCACTGTTTTCTCCTCTCCTGGCTGTAGGAACACCTTGGTAAAGCCGTGCAGTTCTTTAACAGGGCGTGGTGTAACTGAATAAGGAGCAGCAATGTAAAGTTGTAAGATCTGCGCTCCCGCCACTGGGCCCGTGTTCTTGACTAGAACTCTGGTAGTGGGTGGACTGTCCGATGAGAAGACACTCGGAGATACGGTCGCCTCAGGAGAGACACTGAAGGTCGTGTATGATAAACCATGTCTGCAGTCGTGAGCATGCGTCTAGTGAATAAGGAGATCGACCTACCCAAACGGAAACAAGACCTCGCGGCCGACTTTGTCGTAGAATCGATATCCCATATACACATCCTCGCCATAGAGCACTCTACCTCCCACGCTCACGTGGTTTAGATACGCTGGGTTGTGCCTCACATCCACCGGCCAGGACAGTGGCAATTTCCCACACGGGTTGACATCTCCAAATAGGACATCTGCAATGCCATGGCCGGTTTCATTGCCTCCATACCATGCCTGAACAATCCCTCTTGCTCGATCTGCCCACGGCATGGTAACAGGAGTTCCGGATTGGTTTACGATGACAGTCCTGTCAGCCGCCACGTCAAGCACAGACGAAATCAGCGCGTCAATCCCCCCAGGAAGGTCCATATCCGGACGGTCGAATCCTTCTGACTCCCAGTCTCGGTTGAGTCCCGTACACACAATTGTATAATCCGCCTCGGCCGCGACTTTAACCGCATTGGCAATCATCTGCTCTGGGTCCATGTGCAGACACGCGCCGAGATGGGCGGCGCCACCACCAAAGTGGACAACGCCGATGGCTTTCATAGGACTGGTGTTGGCAGAGCCGAACTCAATTCGAATCTTATACGTCTGTCCGGCAGTGAGCTGCTTCGACCCGACCTCCTGCACCGTTCCCTTGCCAAAAAAGGCCGTTCCGCGGGTTTGGCGGGTGGTGTTGTCAATGACCGTCTCATCGTCAATGAAAAGCGTGGCCGTACCGAACACAGTGAGTCCAAAGTCCCACAGCCCAGAGACATCTGGTGTGAACTCTCCGATTAGGGTAGCCCAGAACAGACCTCTGTTGAGACCGGGAGCGTTGTAGTCCATCAGCTGAAACGCCGTGCTACCTACCGGTTCTGTCGCCAGTAGTTTGCGTTCCTTTTCGGGAGGCTCATTGTAAAAGTGGATGACGGCATTGCTGAGCATTCGATCAATGACAGGAAACATCTTGTGAGCATATGCGCCGGCTTCGTAGAGAATTTCGGCGTCTGGAAGGGCTTCGACGACTGCATCGTATAAAGAGACGGCATAGTATGGTTCAAGAGAAGCACTACCGCCGCCTGAAATAGCGGGAGTCTTCATATGAGATCCGATTAGCGCGATCTTCGCGATTGTTTTGGGAATTGGCAGCAGCTTGCCCTGATTTTTAAGTAGAACGATACTATTCGCACACAGCGTCCGGTTCAACGCCCTGTCTTCTGGGAGGTCACGGCCAGTCTCCTCTGCCGCCACAGGAGCGCGGCTGGCACGTTCGACAAACTCAAGTACCCTGCGAGCACGCTTGTTGATCGTCGACTGTTTGATTAATCGTGCCTGCATGGCTGATTCGATGTACCTTCCACGATATCGCGTCGGGCCTGGCATCTCGAGATCGAGACCGGCATTCATCGAGTCGATGGTGGTATATGTCCCTAACCAATCGCTCATGATCAAGGGATCCCAATTCCAGTCTTTGCGGACAATATCCAGCATGGCGGGACTTTCAACGACATGCTTGCCATTGATTTTGTTGTACGAAGTCATCAAGGCTCCTGGACGGGCGTCTCGAGCAACTATCTGGAAGGGGCGCAGATAGATCTCCCGAAGTGCTCGCGGAGTGACCAGGACATCGACAGCGCGTCGCTCATGTTCCTGGTCATTCCCTACGTAGTGCTTGACCGTGGAAATGACCCCTGTACTCTCGCAGCCCAGGATGATTGACTTGGCCATGATCCCCGAGAGATGGGGATCTTCCGCGAAAGATTCAAACCCGCGTCCTCCCAGGGGCGACCGCTGCATGTTGATCGTAGGTCCCAGCCAGCAATGCGCTCCCTTGGCGAGACATTCTTTGCCAAGCAGGACACCAGCTTGATGCAGCAGGTCACGATCCCAGGTGGCGCCTAGCGCCGTGCCACAGGGGAGACATGCAGCAGGTACACCGGCAAAGAACTTAGTGCCGCGGATACCATTCGGGCCGTCAGTGGTACGAATTGAAGGCACATTGAACTGGGGGATAGAATGAGTATGCCAAAAGTCACTTCCTACTAAACTTTAGCAATGCTCTACTAGTAGTTGGGTCAACAATAGGTACCGGAGAGAAGAGCGATCTTGTCGTCCTCGTTGATATGGGCTAAAACATAGTCGACGTCGAATTTGGGTGTCATCTTCAGTTGGTCGTCATGGATTGTTGATTTTGGCATGCTCTCAGACAAGCACGGCTACGATAGACATTAAGGAATGGTATGTTTAAACAAGCTGACAATCCTCACGGCCCTCGAGCCGAATTCCCGATTGGGTGCGGGACCAAATCCTTCAACAATATCTTCAAGGACTTGGCGACCCCCACGCGATGTGGGTTTATCTGATTGGAAGAGGGACTCGTGGTCTCACAGATGACTGGTTGTATCGGTTAAATTAATCTCACTCCTGACGGTTGGAGAGTTGAGTTTTTACAAGCTGACATTCTAACGCGATCAATCGCTGACATGAGACCTCGGCCTGGTCACTGAAGACCAGCTCCCTCCTGACTCAGGTCGCCGCTCCACTGTCATTGCTCCAGTAATGCATACGGATTCACTGACGTAACTATTTTTATCAATGTGTTATAGCTAATTCTTTGCCAGGTTTGTGTGTCGTATATATTTTAATGGTCAGCGTGTCGGCAATCGCCATCTCAGCAAGAATATGACGCTGTGAAAACATACAGAGACTAAGCCTTGATATCTCTGTCCTCAGGAACTGTCTTCCTACGTGCACGACGGCCAAGATTTCTCTGTCTAAGCCGTGTTGCTAGCGATCGGGTGCTTGGGGCCGTTTTTGCTGGTACTTCGAGTTACTGAGGCTTTCCAGAAGCTGAGAAAGCCGAAGCGAATTAGGCTACTGAGCTGTGCAGCTGCTCGCCAATATTGCTGAGTGATCATGTCCATGGGATGTCTAGGAAGAAATTCTGTCGTCACCGTCGATAAAAGATCCTGATCAAGTGCACCAGATGCCTCAATCGATTAGCACACCACCATGACGGCTACCGCTACTAGGACAGTCGCTGCAACCAGTTTTTAGCAACAGAGGCAGAAGGTCAAACACAGCCGTGATCAATATGAATAACAATGACTTCTCGTCGTGGCCTTGATCAATTTAACTTCCCTGGACACTCAAATAAGAAGTCACCGCCAAGAGTTCGCACCCATCGCAAGGGGCCAGCGTCAACATTGTCTGTATACTGCTTTCCGTTTCAATGCTGTCAAGACGTGATTATTATCCTTCCATGCTCCTAACTCCTGATACATCAAATATCTTGTCACTGAACGTTGACGACGTTGTGGAAGCACCATTACATGGCATGTGTGGAAGGAAGACAACCAGATCTTTGCTAGTTAACAGGTTGATGGACCAGTGCGTCATCTCGTTTAGATTTCAAAGCACTAGGTTACCAGAGCTAAGGTCACAGGAAATAATCCACACTCTAAAAGAGGGAATTATCAAGCCCACTAAATCACCATTTCCTGGAGCAATAGGTAAAAACAAAGATCCTTTATTTAATAGTCTACTATACAAGTATTGCAGAGAAACACCACAAGATTGTATTTAATCTAAAGAACAGGAACTAAAAAGCAGAACCCCAGATATAGCTAAAGACTAATCAACCATTTCAGAATACTATGGGAAAATTGCAAGACTCTCAAATTAGTGTAGATTTACCCACCACGCAAAGCATTTATAGGAATGTCTGATATGGCTGTAAAAGCAACAATGGTCTGCAAGATTAACTGATTTGGTGGACTGGTGAGAGTTGGATGAAGGTAAAAGATTAAGATAAACCCGCTTATATTTGTTTTGATGGTCTGCCTTAGGCCAACTTAATTAGAAATTACCGCTAATCACAACTAGCGCTGCCAGACCAGGGGAAATTATATCCTGCTTTCAGGTATCTCCATGCCCTGCTGCGTTTCCACAAATTCGAGTGAACCTTATCTTTTTCAGTCGAGCAGGAAACCCGCTGTGCAATAATCGCCATGCAATCAACGCCTCCCCTCCACGGGAGCCAGCGCAAGACCGCCATAGTCGTTAGCGATGACGAACCTTTGACACTTGAAACCGTTGACCCTACCCCGGCATACACCTATACCGATCTAAATACTACCGACCATTTCCGCCTATTGGAGCTCCTTCCTGGGTCGGGCTCGGCCGCTCTCCAATGCAATATTCAATCTTATCGTCTTGATGCATTCACGCTGCCCCCCTACAGGGCACTCTCCTACTCTGGCATAGAGTCCCAGTACGAAAACCTGGTTGTAGCCGGCCAAAAAATATTGATCGATTCCCCACTGAGGCTCTCATACGAATTTCGGCATCCTCTCATTTGCGAAGGTCGGAAACTTCTGATCACAACCAGCCTCCGGGATGCCCTTCGACGAATCCGCCATGCAAGGCTGCCGATAAAGCTTTGGGTTGACGCAATCTGTATCAACAAGGAGAATGTCATCGAGCGTTCGTTTCATGCGAGGATGATTCCCCGCATTTATCGGCGTGCTACAAACGTTATAGCTTGGCTTGGTGAGGCCGATGGAGACAGCGACAAAGCCATCACGACCGTGCAGCGAATGATAGAAGAAACTAAGCATGGCAGGCCATCGTCCGACGTACTATCGGCTGAGGACATTGAATCCTTCGTACGGTTTCTTGAGCGCCCAATTTTCCGGCGTCTCTGGTGCGTGGTAGAAACAGCTGTCGCTAAAGATGCACGAATCCTGTGCGGATCACTTCCCTCTCCCAACATCTTAACCGGACCATGCGTCTCCTATGGAAGGCTAGGCTGGGCGTGTCAAGTCATGAGAAGCCTTATATCCGAGCATATTGAGTCCTTGGACGAGGCAAAGCGGCTGCTATTATTCTGCGATCTCGGTGTGCAGGTTCGCACTGGACTCAGTATTGGGAAAGTAGATCCGTATCAACTGGCATACGATCTCCGCGAATATGAGTCTACCGATCCCTTGGACAAAGTATTCGCCTTCTATGCAATGCCCAGGACTGACTGTCCCGTATCATTAGGGGAGGCCCCCGTCGCTGCTACTAAAGACGAGCTTGCGAGGTTGAGTACCTCGGACCCTCTTCTTATGCGCAAGTTGACCATCAACTGGGCTCAAACTAAATGGGAGCAACATGCAGGGTTGGGACCCCTATGTTCCGCGAACACACGGATTGATGCTTTGATGGAACACGTCAATTACTACTATAGGACCGTCATTACCTTGTTGGAGTGTGTACTCAAGAGCTGCAGTGGTAGCTCTCGGGAAGACAGACCGGTCGTATTCTCCAAGTTGTGGGAAGCAGTCGATCTCCAACAAACAGCGATTCGGCGCTTCTTGGACAAGAATACAGACGAGATCGCCTCTTCAGACGAATTGGTCATGTTTCGTCGTATCTCGACAGATCTAGAAACTAGTCTATGGCTGTATGAAGACATTTGTACTTCACATGCTGGCGGCAAATATGGCCCAGAAGATGTGCCGTACCTTAGCAACAGGATTGAAGCCCTCAAAAGGATGCAGAACTGTCTAAGCACTGCATGTGACTCATCGTCTTCTATTGGAAGCAGCAACTATGATGTCGACGAGGATGTTGATCAGAGACTGCATAATCCTGATCCAGCTGGTGAGGTTTCATCGTCTAGTAAAGGAGAAGCTACGCAACTTACTGAAAATGAAGCTCCTGCTGAAGATAGTATTTCCGAGACCATCGGAGTTAATAGCGTGAGTGGATGCTTAATCGCAGTCATTAGAGCTTTCGGGGACTAATTAGTGTCAACAGCAGGGTTCAATGAACCCAGGAGAAAATGGGGAAGATAGAGGCCGCAGCGGACCAAGGGATATTGAAAATGACTTACGTCTTCAGCGAATTGAAGGCCACGTGCCTGCCGAAGTATTCCTTGCCGTCTCTATTATGACCAATGGTGAGGAACTGCGCCACTGCATGGGGCTGGAGTATATGGCGCTAAGGGTACGTGATTTTCCCCATCTCGTTACGTCCGAGGAGGCGGAGGCACAAGATTCTTACAAGATATAGAATGATGGCTGCGAGTCGACATGCACACGAGACGGTCACGATCACACTGTCCCCGATAGCAGAGCATTAGCCAGTCCAGACTACAGCCTGTCCACAGCCGAAGCCTACCGCGCCTTTACAGTCCAGCGTTTGCTCCAAGATCAGAACCTTGACTTACTTTCATCCGTCGACGCATTCTGCCACGGGGCCAGGGTGACCGACCTACCTTCCTGGGTCCCTGATTACTCAATTAGATTAGCTGATCGCATTGTGCCTTTGGTTAGCCCGGAATATCACGGTCGACCAGTTTTCGGAAGCAAAAGCAAGACTAACCCCGAGATACTTTGGGAGGAGAGTGACCCTAATGCTTTGAAGCTGGCTGGTCGCTTGTTTGATACCATTTCTGCCGTTTCTATGCTCCGATCGGAAGTACAAGGGTTCAAACATCTCCACGAAGAGTGGATGAGCATGACGGGCGGGGAGGCAGGCGTTGAACCCGCACAGCGTCGCCAGCCTCATCCGACTGGAGATGATGAAGAAGCCTATGATAGGGTTTGGAAAGGCACCATGGCCATGCCCGACAGTTTGCCTACTCCACCCCCGCCGGCACGCATCAAGTCATGGCGGCACATGATCCGCGACTTCATGCAGTGGTTCCATGGTTGGCATGTTCGACCTGACGGGCTGAGCAAAGCCGATTGGCAGTGCTACTTTGCCTTTTTAGCTCTCCTCGCCGCCCAACAGAGCGGTGCTACGACCGAGCTTGCGTTGGAGCGGGCCCTCGACAAGGGAGGTATTGCCCCAGGGGTCACGATCACGGAGCGTAACGAGGGCTTCTTCGAAGCTCTCCGATCCGTCGCTGTGGGCCGAAGACTGGCTGTCACAAAAGCTGGAGGAGTAACCTGGGCACCGGAGACAACCCAGGTTGGCGACAAGATATGCGTGATGAAGGGTGCCAAGGTGCCTTTCATTATTCGTGAGGTTGGCGGCACGGGGAGCTCTTTTAGATTTATTGGTGAATGCTTCTGCCACGAGTTGGCCCGCCGAGGAATGGGGGATGACGACACGGACTGGACAACCATTCGTCTAATCTGAATAGCTGAAAATATACGGTGACATGATGTAAATTTTACAGTAACACCGCCCCACTGGAAAAGATGCTGAGACGAGTAGATGCACATTTGTTATGATTAACTATGTGAATCAGTGTTATGCCATTGTACATTATCTATGACTTCTATTAAGCAACACCATAGAATAATATCCGTAGGGTAGTAAGTAGGCTTTCTCAAGCAGCATCTATACACTTCCACGCTATATTGCCCCAGGGAATTCATTAATAGTCTTTCGGCCCATAAGCTGATACCTGCGCGTGAGCTGGTGGTGTCACGCTTTGAACTGCTACTGGTTTAATACCCTAAATTTTTAATATATCTATAATAACTAATGAGGGCATATAATTATCAGGCCTTACTAGATATAGGGTGTATATCTTCTATAGTTATAGCTAAAAACTTTATATAGAAGCTATAACTAAAGTAGTAGGAGATTAAGCTAATCTAGCCAGAGAATTATATAGGAGCTATAGGTAGTATTTTTATAAAGATTACTATATTCTCTCTAGATATTAGGAGAAAGTTCAATGCGGCTGGAGTCAACCTTGGTGAACCAACGGACCAGGAGCAAGCCTTTAGCCAGGAACAGAGGGAGTGGTACGCCCTGACTGCCATCAACTAGAATTTCCGCCAGACCTTGAGGGCCGCTTCGATCCATGAGCGTGCTACTCGTCTCATGTTCAGGTCCCAAGATCGGCGTTGTACCACAGCAACCGAGAACCTACCGCAAGAGCTCACTACATACGCCCTTGAAAGAGAGCCGGCCACGACGACTGGATCTGAGACACAACCAACTTGTCATACCTCTACCAAACCGTGTGTCTTTCATCTCCCCTGGGCCCTCCGGCTAAACAATGAAGCTTTGGGCAGCTGGTCCTCGTGCCACGGCACTCCCTAGATCGTCAATCGCAACCGGGAAGAGTGCCACTGGTCGTACAAGTGAACAAGCACATCCCCGTAATTCTAGAAGATGCTCGCTGTGGAAAAAGCATTGGTTGTCGTACAATGCCCTGTGAACCGAAAGAGCTGCCATTATGCTCAGGGAGTGAAGTGCGAGCCACAAGAACATAGCACGATTTCGGTCAAGGACGTCCAGGAGTATTACGGGCTCTTTATTAAGGGCGGTGTCATCGCTCCTCAGTAGCTAATGCGACCTACTGTTAGTAATTCATCCGGCTCTTCGGTTACAAGTTCCCACTGATCAGTTGTAGAATGTAATATTTCCCCGTACAGTATCAAAAACCGGGGAAACAGCCACCATCACATGCGTGCAATTAGTGCTTACGCTCCGGCGCTCAATGGAGACTCGACCTCGAATCGTCACGAGTCACACTCATTTAAAGGAGCCTTGCAAGATGGGTGTATAAAGTCCAGCATTGCCGAGTTCACCGTCACTTTCCGAGTTCAAGCCAGTCCTCACTCAGGCAGACTTGCTCAATGTTCTTTCTAGTTCGTGATAGAAGCGTCAGAAATATTACCATTCTGAGTCTGAGACATGGCTGATATGTCTGCTGATGATTGTTGTGAACCCCGCATTGTGCTGTTTGCATGATTGGATGCAAATACGGTGTAGCATTCCGAATACCGAGTTCCTAACTGGGTAGGGCACTAGTGGACACTCGGACCCCTTTCTAAATTATTCGGGAATTGATGATACAGGGGTTCAGATCCATCATGGCATCTATGAGGTTGCAGTGATCCTTGTTAGTGTGGCATTGGCACCGCACTCTTTTCCTAGTTGGTAGACCCCATTCCCCAGAGTCTGATGCGATTCTTCAGGGCCGAGGAGCCGGTTTCATTCCCAGTAAGCAGAGAATATTTTGGCTATATTTTACAGTATGCTGCTGCCAGTGAACTCCAACAAGCAGTGCCATTGGCTCCCTTACCGATGAACGGCTACGTGGTCATTCCGTGGTTTCTCTCGTAATGACAACCCATGCAAGAGGCCCCCCATATATTACCCAAGCAAGATGGTCTGACCTCGCCATTGCTTGCTTATAGGCTCGTCCTTCCCTAAGACTGAGACAAGCGGTTTTCATGGGTTGATCGATATGCGCCCGTCTTCGCTGTGGTAGAACTCCGAGAGCCCTTCGGGGACTGCCCATGTTTTTGCGAACTTCCACAGTTGAAATCATGTCCAGCGATGATATCGAGAAATCTGTCATCCTAGATGCAAAAGGATGGCGACCACGGCCACCGCTAAGACGCCGGCGTCGGGCTCTCGCATTGCAATTGCTGATGATATTGATTGGTCTCTGTATATGTTACGACTTTCTCATCGGGCCTGTGAACCTTCCATCACCGCATAAGGCCAGTGACGGTGAAATTCGTGTTCAAAACTCGCCGCTGACAGAGAAACTGGACTTTGTGGAAGAGACAGAATCGTCGACAGACCCCGTACTGACAAGGCTTGAGCCTACTGAACAAGAGCTACAGCCCAAAGATCCTGTAGTCGTCCCTGATGACTTGCTGCACAAAAAGCCAACTGCGCAAACGACAGACAGTGTGCCACTGCCCAAAAATGACTTGAGTATGTCACTCGATCGGATGATTGCCCTCCTCCCGGACGAAATGCGCATTCAAAGCCTCCTACGGCCTCTCGAAGCGACCGGCGGGGAACGACTGCGTGATCTGGGCCTGCGAACACGCGATTTCTGGGCATTGTACGAGGCGTGGGAAACCGTGCATCTGGTGCCAGCCGACGATGGCCTGTACATCCGCGACGACATTATCCAGTACCTGCGACGACATCCTGAGTTGGCGAAGAGTATGGTGAGGAACACAACGGACATTATCCGCTCCTATGAGTCATATCGCTCGCTCATTACCCGGCTGTCAACACTACTGTTTCCGTGGACTGCGCCGCATTTCCCGGATCATATTCATCTCCATACACAGATCCATGGCGGCGGCCGGGGGCTGGTCTTTTCAGCCGGAGACAACCAAGCACCTTTTCTGTTCGCTTCGATTCCGGCAATCCGCCAGTTGGGATGCGACCTGCCGATCGAAGTCATGTATCTGGGCGACCACGACCTGAGCCAGGATATGCGTGAGCAGTTGGAAGCGCTACCTGGTGTTACTACACGTGATCTGAGCCAGATGGTGGACGACAAGGGCTGGAAATTGGCTGGATGGGCTGGGAAACCGTTTGCGATTTTATTTTCGAGTTTTAGGGAAGCGATCTTCATCGATGCCGATTCGCTTTTCCTGCAGAACCCGGAGATCTTGTTTGAAGACGAGGCCTATCGAAAGACCGGGGCCTTGTTCTTCAAAGACCGCCTCATGATGCCCGAGTCTAAGAAACGATGGCTCCAAGAGATTCTGCCCAGACCGGTGTCCAACAAAGCCATGGGGAGTCGATTCTGGACGGGTCAGAGTGGCCATATGCAGGAATCCGGCGTGGTTGTGGTGGACAAATGGCGACATTTTATCGCGCTGCTTCTAGTGACGCGGATGAATGGACCTGACCGGGACGGTGACCAGTCGAAGCAAAAGACGGGAGTGTATGATATGGTTTACGGTATGTCCTGCCTCTCTGTTGTAAATGACTTTGGACTGTTGTGGACTAACGGCGCAAATAAAACAGGCGACAAAGAGACCTTTTGGCTGGGTTGGGAGCTGATCGGGGACCTGGACTACGCGTTTCATGACGGGGATGCAGGAGTGATGGGCACTCTGGAGAAGGCTTCAACCGAGAACGGTCAAGCGGTACAAGCGGAACTGGCAAAGACCAACGCTACGGACGAGGCAGCGACGACTGTGCCAGAGATGTACACCATCTGTGCTCCCCAACTACTTCATCTTGATCGCAGTGGTCGACCTTTGTGGTTCAACGGCTGGCTCCTCCCAAATAAGTTCGACAAAGGCAAGAATCAAGAGCCGAGTCGATTCGAAGCCTTCCTAAAGGAACCCCGAGAGATTCGGGACCCGGGCGCCTGGCAGTTGCGGGCGAATAACATCTGCTGCTTGACCTCCGAACATAAGGGAGAATTTAGCCGGGATGAGAGACAGGTTCTTGATATGATCATTGAGTCAGGACGGCGTGCTGGTGTGCTGGGTACCAAGGGTCTAACACATTAGCAGTCAAGCCAAGTCATTGTAAATATTTGGGACTTTGCGATGTATATACCTGTAACTAATAATGGAGTAACTAATAATGAAGAAGATGATGATACTGATGATGAGGGCATCCCAAGAGCTCCAGCTGGAGGTCATACAGCACCCAGGGAGATGTATGCCACTCTTTTTTGGCAAGATCCTGGTTCCGCTGAGCCAATCAAGCGTGACCTCTTGCTAGTGCATGTGTAGATCTGCCAGATACCTAAGGTACCTACGCATCAACCTCAGCTACGGCTGATATTAGTTACTCGTAGTTGTCTTACTAGCTGTTCTGCTGTCTGCACGATCATTATTATTATCATGTGTGAGCCTGTTGGGGAATTAGCTGTGGGTCTTGATCGACTCAGCTTCAGACTGGCGTCAATAGTTCGCTTAGTGTTCAATAGTCCAGCTGCGATTGACAAATGACAACTCATGAATACTGCACTGACATCCACAGAGATGCATCTGCGGCCCGAACGAAGGAAGATTGTTCGCTAATCATAGGGCGGAATTCTTTAGTCGCGTGGTTGGAGTCTATCGCAAATTTCCAATCGCATTTCTGAATGCTGTTCGTGGTAAGATCAGCTGGATGAGCTAGAACGTCCTCATGCAATGTGATATTGACTGCAGCACGCAGGATACACAGCTTCCTGGGCCAAAGTCCCAGAAAAAAAATAAATAGCAAGATGTTCGCCTGAAATATCCTCCTCAACATTACACGGCGCAATCTCACGATGATCCTCACCAACGCCATTTTGGTGCTTAGCACCCTGCTCCCTGCAACTGTCCTGTCCCTCGAACATTTAGAGGTAAAAATCTCACCATTCAATTTTCTTGTTTGACTAACCTTTCAGGACTCTCTCTTCCCGGCTAGATGCTGGCCCGACCCCTGCGCCGGCATCACATTCAAAAATGACTCGTACGTCTGCGGAGACCCACGCCTCGGGCCCGTCGTACCACCCCGGAAATTCCCCCTGCGTAACGAGCTACGCACCTATGCGCGGTTCGGCGCCCTCTGTCCCGCCGAGTTCCTAGATAAATGGGCCACCGACGTGGCTCCAAACGGCACGTACATCTACCCGCCCGCGAACGGCTTCGTCGTCGACACAGAGAAGCATCCCATCCTCGGCAATGCGACTCTCCCCGTGGGCATGAAGCTCGACCGCTTCGGGTCGGAGTATGGCAGCTTCCTGGCGCCGCTGGGCGCACCGTACATCGAACGCTCGTTGCCGCCAAGCAACCTCAACACGTTTGGTGGGGACTACCCGTACAATTACCACGTGTACCAGGTGACCAAGCAGTTTGTGGTTGGGCTGGGTCCCATTGCGCCTTGGTTCGAGCAGCCTGGTATGGGAACGCAGTTTGTGACGTACACCAATGTGCTGGGATTGATAAATGGGGGGTTCTTGAGACGGTTGAATGAGTCCGAGTATGATGAGAAGGTGGAATACTCGAATCCGTATACTCCGGGGCCGAATCAGTAGTGCATGTGCCTACGATGAGACCTTGTCTTGAGAACACCTAAAAATGATAATGCATTCATCGGGAATGATGCTTAATTTTGACAATCATTCAGAACACGCTAAGATGATGCCATAGGACGTCGGGATGACCCATCAGATAAGACCAACTCGCACCCAATAACCCGGGAGACACCATAAAGATATTCATATCCAAACGATGGTGTCATTTAGTGTTTCATGGCGAGTTGTCAACCCCGCAGAGTATACTCTCAATGCACAGATTGCGAGTCAAGCACACCATCAGCATGACGAATTTTGTCTACTGCTCTCGGGTATCGGCACCGATGGGAGTATAAATATCTTCTATTCCTCGGTCACTATGTTTATTATCATCAAGCAGCTTGACTGAATAGTTTCAAGAAACAGTCCGAGACAACAATGGCACCAACTTTGGAGGAATCCACCCTCGTCACGAGAACGACCCAATCCAAAGCAACCCAAGAATCGTCTGCACTCCAGCGAGAACCTCTCAAGCTGTCCGGAGTACTGGATCAGTTCGAATCATTCGACGTGACACCAGCTATCGGCAGAGAATACCCTACCGTCAATCTCAAGGAGTGGCTCAGCGCACCAAATTCCGATGAACTGCTGAGAGATTTGGCCATCACAAGTAAGTTGCTCCATTATTCGCAGAATCACACTAATACAAGTGCAGTCTCCCAACGAGGCGTGGTCTTCTTCCGCAAACAGGACGACCTAGACAACGAATCCCAAAAAGAGCTCATCCACCGATTGGGTCTGCTGGCAGGAAAGCCCGCCACCTCGGGCCTGCACATCCACCCAGTCACCAACGCGGGACGCGAACACGGCGGCAAAGACGACGAAATTAGCGTCATCAGCTCCGAGCAGCGAAAGAAGCTATTCAAGGGGCGGTACGCCACCCAACAGAGTCTCAAGGGCGGCTGGCACAGCGACATCACCTTTGAGCCTATTCCGAGCGACTATGCCGTGTTGCGTTTGACCAAGCTTCCAAAAACTGGGGGTGGTAGGTAGATTCAGTAGATTGTCCTAGGGACGTGCTGACCACAATAGACACCCTCTGGGCCAGCGGCTACGAAGTCTTTGACCGCATCTCTGAACCGTACCAGCGTTTCCTCGAGTCCCTGACCGCCACGTATGCCCAGCCAGCATTCAACCAGAGCGCCAAGGAGAATGCATTTGAACTCTTCGCTGGACCGCGCGGTGCTCCCGAGAATGTAGGCAGCGAGCTCCGCGCCGAGCACCCTGTCATCCGCACCAATCCCGTCACGGGGTGGAAAAGCGTCTTTGCGGTCGGCGCGCATGTCGAGAAGATCAATGGACTGGCCGAGGAGGAGAGCAAGCATTTACTCAATTGGTTTGTTTCGTTGATTGTGGAAAACCATGATCTGCAGGTGCGGCACAGATGGCGAAACCCGAATGATCTTGGTAAGTCTTGCTCGGCCGGCAGCCATGGATAATGGCTAATCATTGCAATATAGCAATCTGGGATAACCGCAGTGTCTACCACACTGCCACAAACGATTATGATATCTTTGGGGAGGAACGTGAGGGCCACAGAGCTGTCAGTCTGGGCGAGCGACCCTATCTTGATCCCAAGAGCAGGAGTCGGCGGCAGACTTTGGGGTTGAAGGACAGGATTGAATGAAGGATCTATATCTTGTTGTTTAATTGCCACAAGGGCAGTTGAAGGGTATTCAAGTTTTCTAGGACCACGTACCTGCATAGCTGCATTTCAAGGATGCAGTCTGAGTTTAGCTACGCAGTTACTACTGACTCAGTTTTTGTTTGTCATTAACTATTTACACCTAAATACATGCCTCTCCTTCCACCACTACAGCGAGTTGGAATCTGCCAAGATCTGTCCGACCTGTGTAGACATAGTCCCCAGTTGAGTGATGCTCTTGACTTGTGGTAAAGGATTATCAGATACGACAACGTTCGGAGAAAACTTGCATGGCCGAAAATGGGCACCTCCACGTCAGACCAAGGCTTTTTCCTATCGAGTGATTAGATGCCGGAACTCCATCTATGTCCGATGCGCAAGTGCAAAATCTTCTCCATTTAGTGTGTTCCTCTTCCTTACAATGCATTCTTCCGAGGTACTCATCAAGGTTCCACTCATGCACCCTTTCTCCTTTCTTCATCGAGCAACAGCCTGACGACTCCCATGCGCTTGTAGATCATCCTGCCATCACGATGGAACAGAAGTGACCCCAAGAGCTCATGAAAAACAGAAATCGGATAGTCTGGATGCATCTTACAGTCGACCCTCGTCTCCCTTATCAAAGTGAGTAGTCTACCAATCTCGGGTGACCCCCGGCGTTTCGTCCTAGGTATCCCAAACTTGCGGTCTTCGATAGTGATATTCGGCGGACCAAGCAGGTTCTCCGGGATACCAGTCCGAGTGCGGACGTTCAACTCGAGCGCATCGATCAGAATATCCGCATCTGCAGGCGCATGGGTTGCGTTAGGAAGCCCGCATTGGAGGAAGCGCTGTAGAACCCTGTACAACTCCCAGGGGTCCATTGCGGCGCCGCCGCGTACAAAGAAGCCGCCGCATACTGGGTGGACGGCGCATACTGAGGGGTTTAAGTGCCATAATCAACTGAGGCCCTTCCTGTCGCCTTTCAGGGCGTATAATTTGGCGCGTGCATGCCTGAATCGGGCGGGTATCTTTTGGGCCGCCATAAAGAGAACCAGGCGCTGTCTCCGGAAGAACAAGATGTCCGCCTCATATCTGGATGCGATAAGTTTGTTCGATACTTCCAAACTTTCAATTCGAAACCGGTGGTTGACCAGCAAAAGTGGATAGTGCTGTAAACGCTGTTCGTGGGACGCATACTTGGTTCCCTCAGACCACTTTTCCCCGCAGCGGGGACCGGGTGGGGTAATTTGGTAGTTCAACACCAACTGGATCCCATTCAAGACGCTGTATTCTACGATATTGTCCCGGAGCTCTCATGGAAGACATAGAATAGTTGGCTTTCCAGATGCAGCTGGATCGGAAATCATGATTGATGGGTAGAGAGGTGTATCTCAAGTAATAATATCAACATTAGGAGAAGAGCCTGCTCCATCATGTGATGCTGCTTGGCCATCTAGCCCTCTCTGGTTGGCGCTGCAATTGTAAAGTAGCATGAGTATCTGTTACGACAGAAAGCTAGAGGAATGTTTCTTGACTTGCCAACTGTGGGAGAGTTCCGGCGCCTAGATGGAATACTTACCCATAAGCTACGTGGGCTCAAGATATGTCGCTGATGTTGTGGTTTGGAAGGCGCGTATTTACTTCCCTTTCTGGTGCCCGCTATCGATAAGCCCGCAGTACAGTTGTATTTATAACCCCTCATCCTCTTGCTCAATCTCCCTTCGTCTCGGCGTCAACCCTTCTTTGTCTTCTGCACCTTCTATCATAGCAAAATGTCAAAACTCTCTGACTACCGCCTGTTGTGCTTCGATGTTTATGGGACCCTAGTCGACTGGGAATCTGGGATCGTGAACGCCTTCCAGCCGATCCTCGATAAGAACAATTCGTCTATTTCACGCGAGCATCTTCTGTCCGTTTACCATGAACTTGAGCATGAGCAACAGGGTTTGACACCTGATATGCCATACTCCGAACTTTTAGCAAAGATCCATCCCAAACTTGTCCAGCGACTCTCCCTCGCCCCGCCGACCGAGGAAGAGAGTATCGCTTTTGGCGAATCAGTCGGGACATGGCCGGCCTTCCCCGACACAGTCGATGCTCTCAAGCGACTGTCCAAGCACTACAAGCTGGTTGTCCTGTCAAACGTGGACCGGGAATCATTCGCCAAGACGAACGCGGGGAGTCTGCAGGGGGTCAAGTTCGATCGCATCATCACCGCGCAGGACGTGGGCTCGTACAAGCCCGACCTGCGCAATTTCGAGTACATGTTGAAGACGGTACAGGCCGAGCTGGGAGTCGACAAGAGTCAGGTCCTGCAGACTGCTCAGAGTCAATTCCACGATCACCAGCCTGCCTCTAAAGTGGGGATCAAGTCGGTCTGGATTGTAAGACCGGGGGCAATTATGGGCAACATCAGGGATACTATCTACGATTGGAAGTTTGAAACATTGGGTGATATGGCACATGCTGTAGAGATTGGCCAATGAATGATACATGTATTCAAGCTAGACAGTCATGTTCATATCTCAGCATAACTGTGTAATCGAGTGTTCCAAGCAAGAATATGGACGTCAAAGCATTGGACATGTTTCCAGGTCGTCTCGAACCTCAGGCAATCACTCTGCAAGTGCATAAAGCTCATCGGACATACCTCGGCACAAAGCTATATTACGCTCCACCCATTAGTTCCTGCAGCGAGCATCACCAGAGCAGGTAGAAGAATTTTGTGATTCCTGAGCATCCTGTTCGTTGTCGATCTTTTCACCTCGTTGGTTATATCTGGATACACGCGCTTGGATTGAGAGGTTCTCGTCTTCGTAAGCTGGGTCTAGGTCGCGATACTTTGCACGGCAAAAGGTATGACAGAGCGGCGGTAGTCCTCTAGAGAGATTTTCTTTGGGACGTTGATGAAGATATCCTTTTTCCACTCGGGCGCATTAATCAGGTAGCGAATAGGGAATGGTTCATTGGCCTCAAGATCCGCAGCGTACTGGGCGAAGACAACGTCTCTCCAGGTCCTGTTGAGATTGCGGGTTGTCATGATGGATTTCAGGTCTAAAGTTGGGATTTAAGCTGCTATTTATGTCCTTTTTGGATCGTGTCCAGGGCCCCAAGCAGATAGAATTTTTCTTTAGCGTAACAAAGGATTAAGTCCAGCCTTCTAAGTAGTGTCAATAGCTCCAAGCTGGTTGTGGATGATCTAATCTTTAACCTGCTTCGCGAAAACCTGGAATTAGCATTCCTGTGTGGTGTGTTTGATGTCAGAAGGGAGGGGTTTCTGTTACAGTCCGTCCTCCTGACAAAGAGGAAAACACTAAAATAGTTACAGCCAAAGTCTAACTATAAATGATTTACCCGCACCTAGCACTGACATCTCAAATTCATCACATCTCTATTAAATCTCAATCTGGAGTCGGCAGCTGCCTAGGATATATTCACCACCTTGGTCTAGGATCATGAACCTTGGAGAACTTTACAAATATTATGTAATTGGTTGGAATGACTTGCCGTTGCTGCTTGAGCTCTATAATTAGCTGAGGCACTTAATGTAACAGCAATATATGACAAGTGGCTTACTGCAAGCTTATTCTGTCATTCTATAATAGCGGAAATAAGTTTATCCTGGGAATGAGGTATGTATGTCTATTGATTGCATATTCAAACATGCTGGTGTTGTTTAAGCCAAAATGATGATAGGTGTAACGGACCATTGACAAGGTAAAATGGTGATATTGTGATCTGCACAATGCTGAATATTTGTGCGCTGCCGTCTAATATATTCCCTGAGTTAAAGCGTCTTAACAACTAGTACTATCATAGGACTGTATAGGTGCAGCCACATTTTCAAGCGATAGTCGAAACATCACAATATGATGCTTCTGCTAGAGTAATACAACCACTACGAGCCTGCAGTCTTGGGGAGCTCAGCTCGCTCGTGATGATCCAAATGCTCGAGCTTCTCGGATGTCTTCTCCTCGCTCGACTCGGCGTCCTCGCCCAACAGAGCCAGTAAGCCGATCTCCCTCTCGATGCGACGTTTCAGAGCCTCGTCCTCGGCGGCGATGCTTTCGGATCCGAATAACTCGTCCATCTCTTCCAATGTGCGGCCCTTGGTCTCGGGGACGAGGAACCACACATACAGGACACCGATGGTGGTCACCACGCCGAAGAAGATGAAGGTACCGTAATCAGAGGCTGCAATAAAGGGCGAAGTTGACAGACCAACCGCGAAATTGTTGAGCTACCTTTTGTTAGAAATGTTGTGTAAATTCGCAATGAGTGCGCTTACCCAGTTGCTGCTCCCACCAATACTAACACCTTTGGCGCGCATGCTCAAAGGGAAGACTTCCGACACGACAATCCACGCGACGGGACCTACTTCTGTTAGCTCGTCTGGTTTGATTGCAGGTCAGAATTGCCCTTACCCCATGCGTATGCAAAGTTAATAATGAAGATCCACACAAAGACTACGGCAGCCCAGCCAGCTCCCTTGTGATTCTCGAACTGGCCCGAGTACGTTCCAATGATGCCGGCAACGATAAAATGGCAGACGGCCATGCCGATGCCTCCAGCGATCAGAATCTTCTTACGACCGATGTTGTCGACCCAAAGAACGGCGGGAATGGTAAAGACAAACTCGAAAATACCGGCGACACCGGTTGCGAGCAGGGAGGTAGTCTTGCCCCCTAGCTGTAGACCCTTGAAAATCTGCGGACTTTTTCAATGTCAACACAGTGCCCTTGACATTAGACGTAAGACACCTACGCGTAGTAGTTGATACTGTGACCTGTCAGCAGAATCCTTGTAGAACCAAAGCTATTGACTTACGCATTGATTCCGTTCCATTGCTGGAAGACCATGATCATACACTGCGCGAGTCAGCGATTGCAGCGGATACTGAGAGAATAACTTACAGCTACAGAGGTTCGTTTGAACAAGGACTTGTCTGTGATCAAGGAGAGATAGTCATTGATCCCAATCATGAAGCGGCTTTTGAATGAGCCATCCTGATACTGAGGATACCTCTTGCGAGCTGCTTCATCCTCGAACATGCGCAGCGCCTTGATTTCGAGAAACTCGATGCGGACCGAAATGTCATCAACTGAAGTATCGCGCAGTCTGGCCAGCGTCTGTAAGCACTCTTCCTCTCTTCCTCGATTCATCAAGTGTCGCGGGGACTGCGGCATGAAGAGGAGCATTCCCGCTGCCAGGATCACGGCTGGAAGGATCTGGATACAAACGGGGATCTCCCAGGCAGCAATGGATTGCCCTGCACCTGTTCCTCCAATGTAATTTGTCCCGTAACCAATCTAAAACATCAGCATTTCATCATTCTCCAGCTGACCATATACTTACCCAGAAGCTGACCATGATGCCAAAAGTAATGGATAACTGCTGAACAGCGACCAGCGAGCCACGGATTTCCGGCGGTGCCTATCAAGTCAGAATAGGAATCTTATCTGTGTCATTGGGACATACCAGTTCCGCGTTATACAGAGGCACGATCATACTCAGGTTACCCACACCCAGACCTGTAACAAACCGCCCAGCATAGACGTAGTCCGGGTTCTTGGTACAGGCTTGGACAATAACGCCGACGCAAAACACAACCACAGCAATGACTACCGTGATGCGACGACCGGTGGCATCTGCCAGGTACCCGTTGATGAGGGTTCCGAGCCATGCGCCGAGTTCCAGAATCGCGGTCAACATTCCTTGTTTCACTCCAGTGCTCTCTGCGTATCCTTGGGTCTAAAAACGTGAGCGACTATCGACGTTGGGTCCTCGAAAATCACATACGGCTTCGATGAATGAGTGCATTGTCAAAATTTGCGCGAACATTCCTTGGTTGTCTGGTACCGTCAGCCTCTGAATCATTCCTTAAGAAGAGTAGAGCAACAGAAGACTCATCATACATCCATAAACTAAACCACCTAGAGACGCGAACAAGGCAATACCAAAGGTCTTCTTGCTACTGGTCAAGCCGCGCCAACCGACCTTTCCTCCGGCCAGTTTGGCTCTTTTAGCTGAGATGTCTTGGGAAGTCATCCCCCCGGCCATTATGACAGTTTGGTGTACAGAAGTGGATGAACAGGAGATAAAAAGGCAGGATCAGAGCAGTGCTAGCGAGAGACCAGATAACAAAATGACAGGTACGATTGTCATCAAATATATAGTTAAGCACAGAGCAGGTTCGGAACAATCGGCAGCCAAGGAACTTGAAGTCCTGCAAGAGCTTCTACTGCCAACGAATGCTTGATTTTAACCCGATAGCCGACCAGAACCGGCGAGAGACTCCCCATCAGCCCACACATTTACCCCATCCTGTGTACGATACGATTTTCGGCAATGATCGGTATGTATTTACCCTGAGCCAATGCGGCGATAGACTGAATGGGGAGTGGCCTCCACTTTTCCCCGGCCTTTATCCCCGTGGGGCCACAGCCGCCTGGAGTATCTTCCATTTCCTTGTCATGATCGTTCTGAACGGTGGGAATCAACGTTCGGACCGTGGGTAAGTCTAACAACGCGGAAAAATGGTGTCGTAACTTGGAAATGTATGTCCTTGATATCTCCAATATTGTTAAGCTTCGTGGCTGCCGCTACGAGACGCCATGCCGGCTGCCGGCTCGGCATCGCAATCATTCTCATGGACAGCCGGTTAGTACTTGGTTAGACACGAAATTAAACAGGGAGACGGTGATGGACTGACGCCGTTGACTTTAGCGCTGACTCCAGCGTACCAATCATAAGCACAATGAGATTCATTCAGTCTCAATCCGGGGGTGGAGCTGACTCAGTCGACGGCAAAATACTCAGGGCCTCTCCAATCAGAGTGGAGCTGGAACAACCCAACGCTGAATTTAGCCGGAATTCTCCCCTTCTCCCCCTTGGGACTGACTGTATCGTGTTTGATTGGATATTCTATCCCCTCGCAGTCGATGCATGCATTGCAACCCGTCATAACTGTCTTGCGGCATAAGGACGGCATAATGCGTGGCCAGATACCATAGCTCGACATGTGACGCTATGTAAAACCCAGAACATGGACATCGAATTTATTGATTCTGTCGAGAAATTATGATGAGAAGGCACAAGATCTTGTGGAATTTTCCCAGACAATGAGATGTTACCAAGTATTGCGAGCTCTTGGTAAGAGTCTGATTCCGGTCGCCAGGAATATGCCGGATAAAAGACGGGGTTTCTAGTTTCAAACAACAGATTCTAGAACTAGATCTTGCATAACCAATGACGTCTGTGGCCATTCTACCTTCTTCTTGACGGCACTTCAAGTATCAACAAGAACTGGATACCTAGATACTCAGGCAAACGAGCAGCCTCGGCCAGTCTTAGCCTCAGGCCACGATAAATTGGAACAAATGATTAGTAAGTGGACTCACTGGAAGAGGACATATACAAGTCACTTCTACAAGTACTTATTCTTTCAACAGCCCCATTGTGTTGAGACAGATGTTCAACTGGCTGT